GGGGGTGGGAGCGGGGGAGGGGGCAGGGCCCGGAGCTGCAGGGGCAGTGGGCACCCCGGGCAGAGCTGCTTCCACGGCTCCAAGTTCCGACTGAGGCTTGCACTTCTTGAAGATGGCAGAGAGCTGGTACCGAGCAATGGTGTGGAATTTGAGAACAAACACCTAGCGGGCAGAGAAAATCGGGAGAGAAAAAACTCATTCTTCTTCAATAAGCCAAACCACCCTTTTGGATGACAGAAAAATAAGATGACACTGAAACCACCTGCTGATGTCGTTCTGCTTGTTCCCCTAACAAAAGAGGGGAAAGGCTGGTAATGTCCGAGCACCTCCTTTGTGCCAGGAATAACGGAAAAGAAATGCTCTGTTTTCTGTCCAATCACTGTCCCCATTTTACGTGTAAAGAGTCTGGCCCAGGAAAGCTGAGCAACTGGCCTGACAAGCAGGGCCCGGATTTCACCCCGGACTGCTGGCCTCGTCCCTCCAGGCCCACACCCTCACCCACTGGCCTTGGGAACTACACTGTTCCCAACTATCCCTCACCCAAGCACTCACCTGGGTATCTCCCCAGAGATGTCCACAGCTAACTTAGCACTTGTCTATTATAACCTCAGAAAATAACTCTCAGGAAGTGTGCTAAGTGCTTTCATGCATTGTTTTATTTAACTCTCACAGCAATCCTATGAGGAAGACACTCTGATTATGGTTAAAAGATGAATAAAACGGCACAGAGAAAGTTAAGCATCTAGCCTAAGCACACCCAACTGTGCTGTGAATGGGGGAGCCGGGATTTGAACCCAGATCGTCTAACTCCTGGGATCAAGCTTAGTGATTGAGCTGCCCCATAAACTTGCCACTACAGCAATTGTACAAGTTATCAAAGTGCAAGACAGAGAGCTCGGGGGGATGGTGCCTCTCAAAAGGGCCCCTACCTCCAGCATCCGCATCAGGACGTCTCTCCCGTTGCCACTCTCCTGCTCGCTCTTGGAGCGGATGCAGTCCACCAGGTTCAGTAGGAGCTTGCAGGACATGGTCTGAATGCTGCTGGGCAGGGACTCGTCGTCGATGTTTTTGGCAAAGAGCTGGACGGCGAGGGAGAGGTCACTGAGGGGCAGGTGCTGTCGAACGTGGTGCACGAGGTCAGCCAGTGTGCTGTAGGCGAGGGGCCTGCGGGCAGAGACCTCCACTAGTGCTCATTGTCATGTGGCCATGCTTGCAGCCCACCATGTGTGTCACTACCTGCCCCAGGAACACCACCACTGGGACGGCATAGCTACCTGGGACACGTTTCATGTGGTCTCTGTTTCCCCTACATTATTCTCTCCCAGATACATGACTAAATGGCTCAAGCCTTGTCTTTTTTTTTTTTTTTTTTTTAAAGAGACAGGGTCTCACTCTGTCCCCCAGGCTAGACTGCAGTGGCATCATCACAGCTCATCATAACCTCGAACTTTCCTGGGCTCAAATGATCCTCCTGCCTCAGCCTTCTGAGCAGCTAGGACTACAGGTGCATGCTACCACACCTTGTTAACTTTTTAAATTTTTTGTAGAGATGGAGTCTCACTATGTTGCCCAAGCTGGTCTTGAACTCCTGGGATCAAGCAATCCTCCTACCTCAGCCTCCCAAAGTGCTAGGATTATAGATGTGAGCCATCAAGCCCAAATATTTTTTTATAACTAAAAAAAGATGAATTATATAGAAAACAAAAAAAATAAAGTCAGATAAAGTTTTATCTACAATTTAAGTCAAGACAATTATTTTGATTCCTTCCTTTAAGCTAAGGCACAAAAAGCAATCTAAGGAAGGCCCTTCTAAAAATCCTGCAATTCTAAATCCAATGGGTGAGTCAAGGTCCAATAGCATGTGTTTGTGGTAACACTCATAACATTAAGTGTCAGTAATCACCGCCCCTGGCATTTAACCAACCAGATATCATTCGTTTAATCTTGTACCTTAGAGTCTCTCGAGCAGTATATCCTGAGCCAATTAGTATGGATTCATCAAACAGCTTGTCCATGCAAGGAATGAACTCTAGAAGACAAACATCCATTGCATATGTCACTAACACCACCAATTATGCATTAAATTACTTCACAGTGCTTTCACAGTAGCCAGTCTGCTATGCAATCCAGGCCTGAAAAGGGGCAGAGAGGAGAACAGAAAGGTGCACAAGTTGTCTCACTATAAGGCAGAGGCTTTGCTGAGCCACAAAAGCCACCGCCAAAGATGCAGTCAGGGTCTCCCCACTCTCTGGACAAGGCTGACGATACTCTCACTGGGGCTCCTCTCTTGCTCTAAGCCTGTAGGTGGGACCATCCTCAAACTTTCTCTGCTCCCCTGCAGGCCTGAACCCAACAAGGGTTCCACAGAAACAGCTGGTCACCGCTCAGGGACAAGTCACACTTCTGAGGACGTGCAGACAGAGCAGTGACAGCATTTCCATGCTCCCTTTGGGGAATTCAGGCTACAAACATCCAAAAGGATGCTTAGGTTCTGAAATAACTCTTCAGTAAGTCCAATAAAGTACATTTTTTATCACCAAATAGCTACTGAAGGCCAAAGACGTAAAAGAAATATATACAGTGGAGGGACAAGATGCACATCTCTGAGTAATTTCCAAAGCAGGGCAGTGCAGGGAGGAGCCAAATGAAAGCAGCAAAGAGCAGTCCCTTCTGAGGTCAGAGGACGGAATGCACCTATCCTCAGTGAAGCGGCCAAGAGGAAGGAGGTGCAGGAGGATGCAAAGAGCTCAGACACCATAGGCTGCAAGACCAGCTAAGGGATGAGTAAAAATTGCAAGTAAAGGGAGAAGTTACAGGAAATTAAACTGTACGACCACTGGTTTCCAGATCCTCTCCATGATCCAAAATCAGAATCTCTGGGAAAAGGTGGAACTTGTTGAACACTCGGGATTTTCTCAAATCACTGGCTCTTCAGAATTAGTGCAAATGGGTTACCGATTGATACTTTTTTTTCCAGGTGCTAAAGAAGTTAGGCTAAGAGAAGATGTTAGTGGATGTGGAAATTTTAAATGTAACATATTTTTTTTTGTATTTTATGATAATCATGGTTAACATTGAGCAGAATTCTTTAAATGTTTCTTTCAATCAAAACTTTTTTGAGATGTAATGCTATTACCTATTTAAGTCCCAGGAACTACAATGGGCTTCAAAATAAAGTGTCCTATAATATATTGAAAAAAAAAAAAAAAAAAATCAAGCCAACCAGTAAAGAGGCCTAAGAAATGGAAAACTCAAAAAGCTAAACTGACTTCAACAAGTCTAACCTGATCAAAGCTCGGAGAGTAGCAGCTTGGGAACCCAGCAATGTTGGCGAGCTGGTATTAACACAGATCAAAACCAAGCTTTATGGCCTCAAAACGGGGCCTCCCTATGCAGTGATGGAACAGGGTTTACCTGGTAAGCATGATAAAGGTTTGTAACCTGTCAGCACGTCAACAGCAGAAGCCTCCTGCTACACAGGTCCCCAAAACACCTCCAAAATCCTTACTCGCATGGCAGGAATACTGGAAAAGTCACCTGAGAATGGCATTTGAGGCATAACTCATCCACTTCAGTAAACAGATTAAAAAATGTCCACTTAAAATTCTATTTTGATATAGTTCTGAGATGAACACATGGGAGAAACCATAAACAGCAAAGGAAGTTGCCACGGACAAGTCGAATGGCAGTCATGTCCGGACACCTCTAGAGCTCTATTCTGCCACCTGGATGATGCCCAGGCTGGTGTCTCTTCTGTAATTTTTGGTAAAATTGTACATTTCTTTTGTGTACTTTGCCATACGTGTTGAATTTCACAAAAGCATTTTAAAAACATCTATATTCTTTTCAGCTACATCCACATGCAATAGTCACACTATAATTTTTATCTTAATAGCACAAAAACACTTGAGCTTTACAGTATTAACTCGTATGTAAGCACTCAAACTATATCCTTCCTTTCATGTTTAAATACCATGTGAAGAAGCCCAATCTCAGTTTTATGTATGCTCTGATTTACACACTGTGGCAAATAGAACTTTTGATATGAAAAATGGAGGAAAATTATTATCATCTCTAAACAATTAAGATATAACTTCAACCTAACACTCTGGACATATCAAATATGCAAAGTACTAAAAGATTACAAAACAATATGATTAACTGAAAAAGTATAACTATCAGATTAGCAAAAAGCAAGTATATCAGCCTTGTGCCATAAAAACAACCAATCTGTCATTTTCACAGCATGGAGAATACAAAGTTTTTTGCTCACCTTTTAAAGGTTGCTAGCTGTGAGTGAGTAAGCAAACGGCTATTTGCAACTTCAAAAGATACACAAAGGCAGTAAAGTATCGAGAGCTACTCAAGAGTGTAAGCTATGCCAAGAATAATCACATTAACTATGGGACTGTTAAAAAGATAAAGAGAACCTGGGTGCCAGGCACAAAGAGAAAGAGAAGCAGAGAGAGGGGCAGGTGATCAGGGAGAGGGGAAGTGGGGAGGTGGAGTGAAGAGGAGAAAAAATAAACCCCAGACAGCCATGAAGTAAGCAAGGACACGTGGAACCTTGGCAGCACGGCCGAGTCCCACCAGACAGCAGCGGGACTCATGTCAGCATTCAGACAAGACTAGACGGACATACGGTTTCTCAGCTCTGTGGTGAGGATGTGTTTTGCAGCAATCAGAAGCTCCTTTCTGAGGTGTGCGGTCTCTGCTGGACAATTTGACAGTAACTGTAGCATTCCTTTCACCATCTGTTGAGAGTACTTAGTCACCAACTCCTAGAAAAATAAGGAGTTAAACAACAGTTTCACTGACAGGTGAGTGTTAAGAAAAACCCAAGTTGTATTAGCTTTTGAAAAATTCAGTAAGACTTGGCTTCACTCAAACAGCCCTCACGAAGTAGCAGGCCTACTAAACAACATCCAAAAAAAAGTTTTAAATAGAACGTATGTGCAGGTGTGTACAATGCCATACTGGAAGTATGTACAGCCACATAAATAGCAGTTTCTTTTACACAGGATTGTAGGTGTCTTCTTCGTTCTTTTCTCTTATTTTCCCAACTTTCAACAGTGACTATGTATTACTTCACTATTAGGGGAAGGAGGGCAATTAAATATGGCAAATATTTACTTTTTTTCAAAAGCAAATATTTTTTACTTAGTCATCCCGTCAGTGTAAGTCGTGAATGAACCAGAGACAACTCTAATCACAATCTCCTTGTGAGATGTCTTAAGAAGGAAATTCACCAAGATAACTCAAGCAGACTAAGATATCACAGGGGTAGTACCTAATTTAGATTTTTAAACCAATGTTTCATTTTCTTTCTTTTTTTTTTTTTTGAGACAGATTCAGGCTAAAGTGTCAGGGCATCAGCCCAGCTCACAGCAACCTCAAACTCCCGTGCCCAAGCAATCCTCCTTCCTCAGCCTCCCAAGTAGCTGGGACTACAGACATGTGCCACCACACCCAGCGATTTTTCTATTTTTTGTAGAGATGGGGTCCAGCCCAAGGACACAGAGTCTTTGGGAAGTAATTAAAGTTAAAAGAGGTCATAAGGGTCGGGCTTGGTGGCTGGTGCTCAGACCCAGCCTGAGCAACACAGCAAGACCCTGATGCTACAAAAAATAGAAAAATCAGCCAGGCGTGGTGGCTCACGCCTATAGTCCCAGCTATTTGGAAGGCCGAGGCAAGAGGATTGCTTGAGCCCAGGAGTTTGAGGTGGCAGTGAGCTATAATGACACCACTGCACTCTAGTCCAGGTAACAGAGTGAGACATTGTCTCAAAAGAAAAAAAAAATAAATAAATGAGGCCATAAGGGTGGGGCACTAATCCAATAGGACTATGCCCTTAGGAAGAATAGAGAGAAATCTCTCTTCCTCTGTTTGCCATTTGAGGACACAGCAGGAAGGCAGCTGTCCAGAAGCCAGGAAGAAAATCCTCACCAGAAACCAGAACCTTAATCTTGGATTTCCAGCCTCCAAAAAAAATAAATTTCTGCTGTTGTTTAAACCACCTAGTCTATGGTATTTTGTGAAGGCTGCCAAGCAAACAAAGACCACCACTCAGCAATAAAAAGTAATGCATTACCAATAAAATAACAAGAATGAATCTCACCATTACTGCTAAGTGAAAAAGGCCAGACTCAAAAGATTACATACACTATATAATATATGATTCCATTTATATGACGTTCTGGAAAAGATAAAACTATGGAGCCGGAAGATAAATCAGTGTTTGCCAGAGGCTGGAGGTGGAAGAAAGAAATTGACCACACATGTGTACAAGGGAATTTTGGGGAGTCATAGAAATATTCTACATTTTGATGTGTTGGTGATTACCAACTATAAATATTTGTCAATTCATAGAACTGTACACCCACAAAAGGTGAATTTTATTATATGTAAATTATATCTCAGTAAACCTGACATAAAACACAAGTCTATGACCTTACCTGATAAATTCTGATGATATAAGCTAAAAATGACAGTGTTTTAATCTGAGCAGCAATGAAGTCAGCATACAACTCCTTGTTGTAAAGTTTATGTTGCCTGAATGAGAAATGAATAAAATTTACAATATTAGCTCTCACTTTGGGTGACACTAGTTTTAATTAAAAGCCTGTAACAATTACTAAGCCCAAAAGATTGTCTGATTTCTACATGGACCAGAACAGCACAGTGGCAATAGTAAATGCATCTACACTTCTATGCAGTTCCAAGTAACATAAAGGACTTAAGAGCCAAAACCCAGTTTACCAAACCATTCCACAGCACTTACATAAAATCAGTGCTACACGGACCCCCTCAGTCTGAGAATCACTGCACCATCTGTTCAATACAAGACCCTGCACAGGGGCCATACAGGTGATCAGAGCTGACCCTCCTCAGGTCCTGCCCTCAAATGACTCAGCCAGGTAGGCTCCAAGTCAAGAGTAAGTGAAATGGTTTTTGGAGGAATACTATTGAGAAAAGTCTTCACTGAGAGGCTTCAAAGGATGCATACAGCCTATTCAAAGATAAAAGGTGAGGGGGAATCAAAAGGGGAATGAATATTCTAGCACTCATGCTGAAAGGAACAGTGAGAACAAAGGCCTGAAGGTGAGAAAGGCTTGGATATCCATAAATATCAGTGAATACAGTAATACCTGATATGATACTTCTAAATTTACAAGAAACCAAAATCCAGGATATTATCTCACATTTTCAAAATAAACAACTAAAATAACCATAGCTATCATCATTGAAACAGAAGGTCAAAAAGTCAAAAATGCATATAATTTTACAAAAATGTTATCACTCATAACTTTCCCATCTTAAGAATGGCCACAGCAAATGTATTTTTCCTCGGAATCAAAGCATCATGGCACCTGGCTACAGTGAAATCTCACCTGGCTTGTGCAGACACCTGAATTGCAATGGTGTTCATGATCAAGGGCACGAATTCAGCAACAACATTGTGTATGTTCAGTTTGTAGAGCTAAAAGCAAACATATCAGATTTTCATGCTTCTACATTCTGCTATAGCAAAATAATTTGATGTACCAAAGAATCACTGCATTAGTTAGCATGTGTATATTATACACAATTTTTTGCCACAGAAATTTAGACATCAATTTTATCATAAAGAAAGAAGCCAAAAAACTAATAAGCAATACACATACCTGATACATTAAAACAACAATAATGGGCAATTCTGCTAACACTTTCAGAGAAAGTGATCCTCTTGGAATGATGGAATGCTACAAGATAGAAACAGGTGGGATTGTGGTTATCGCTGTGGCCTTTAAAATAGCCCCACCCAGTGTCCAGGATTAAGCATCACCCCCACTGCATTAGAGGAAAGGGAAAATACTGACACATCTTAGTAAATATTTGCAATGAAAGATCCAAATTGTGTTAAAACCAAGTATACAAAACTAGCACTTAATATAAAGGTTTTTATATTTTCCTACATAACTACTTGTAGTAAAAACTTCCAGAAAATATGTCACAGAGATTCAAATCATTAGTACCTATTATTTTACTTACTTAAAAGAACAGCAAAAAGCACAATTTACCCAGCAATTTTATTCAACGATATTTGTAAATGGAAAATGCTTATCATAGATACAAAAAAAATTAGTCTTAATATATTAAGGACTCATAAAACAGGTAAGGAAAATGTCAGACAAAATACAAATGGGCAATAGACATGGACAAGGAAAAAAAGAAATACAAAGGAATGATACTCAGAAAACAAGTTTCTAATTCAAGAAGAATGAAAGACGAAAACTTCATTCACAGTTTGGTTTCTTATTCATCCTGGCACAAACTGAAACATTATGTACAACCCTTTCAGTAAAACAAATATGGATGACAAAATATTCTTAATTCAATCACAAAAACTGTCATAGTAAATGCTCAGTACATGTTACCTATATGGCAGACACTACAAATACAATACATTACCTGCAGATAATACCAGCATTACCTTCACAAAATTCCATGAGACAGGTTTTTCAGATAATGAGAGGGAAAATAAGGTCAGAATGCAGGTTCGTCAACTTTCCTACAGTCAGAAAACCTGAGTGGTAGGGCTGGGACACCATACTGGAGTTCTCTGCTCAGAGCCCACACCCTTAGTCGCTGAACTGCAATTTTATCTGCAGTTATAAGGGATGCCATTAATGTTAAAGACTCAGAGATAAGGGACAGAGCTGAGGCCCTGAGCCCACCTGCTGCTCTTCCCAGCAGCTAAGCCTGGGTTTCCGTTATGATCTTATCTTTACAGCCTGGCATCAAGGACGCTCCCGGACAGCTCACATTTACCACTTCCAGGCTGCGCAGCAGGACCAGTGATGCTCTGCCAGTCATATGTTTGTTTATGTAGCTTAAATGCCTCCAAGTATTTAAGAAAAAAAAAGAAAAAACTTAAGTAGTCTATAAGGTCAGTATCCCAACTACAAGAGCCACAGATAGAAACAACTCAGTCAGCAAAACAAATGAGACCCTTACTGTTCGCGTCTCACTGTCCTCACGCTCGGGATTGACCTTCACAGCAATTGTTGTTATCATACCAACCATTTCTGGGGGAGGGACTGTGTTCTCAGGGATCACCTGAGGGTTCTCAAAGTAGCGGTTCTACAAAAAAAGCATAGAAATAGTTCTTCCTAAAGTAAAAACACAGTATTCCTTCATAAAATACACCTGACATTTGGTGGAAGAAACCAAAATATTCTACATTTAAGTCACACCAGTCCTATAGTATTTGGGCTCAGCCATTCACTCCCTAATCCCCTCAAGTAAAGCCTGAACCAACACACACTAAGTGCTTACTCTTTACTCAAGACCACACAGATAACGAGATAGGAACAATGCTCTCTAGCTTCAACAACAGAAAACAAAAACTTGCCTAAAATGTTTTCTACTCTTTTTTTTCTGGTTAATAAAAGACGAAGTATTAATACAAACTATAGTGAGGCAGGAAAAGAATGTACTCCACTCCTCTAGTGAAGAAACTAGGAGCTAGTTCCTACTAAATTAACTTTTCAAATAGTCTCTAAATAGAGATCGAAAAGGGAACAGAAGCAAAGCATGGAGGACATCTTTAAAAGCCAGGACCTCACTTTCATCCCTCAATCTCAGTGGAATTTGGGCTTCACGTCAAACATGGTGGATGCAAAAAGCAGCTCTCGGGCGCTGACAGAAGGGCAGGTGACAGGACGTGACAACTCAAAGTAACTAATTTTAAGTTTTATACATTGTTTCCAGATTAAAATCCTTAAAATGCCAAAAAGAATCAAATTTTACCACACGTTACTTAAAAAAAATTTTAAGCTTAAAATCTTTAAAATAAAAAATTCTGACATATAAACAGATTTATGCACCATGAGTTTTACAAAAGCATTATTTGTGATGGTAAAATATTGAAAATTGCGAAAACAAGCAGTAGGGAAATGATTAAGGTAGATACATGTGACAGAAAATTATGGTGCCATTAAGAATTATGATTGCCAGAAAGAGTCTGGAAGGTGTTCCAAAGTGGTGATGGCAGCCACGTCTAATAAGTGAGAATGAGACGGGGCAGGAGATTTTCCTCTTCTACTCCATATACTTTCACGTTGCAGCACTGCTTGTAAAGAGTTCTTAACAATATTGAAAAAAATTTATAATGATATAGAAAAGTACTGAAAATCTATGCCACCTCCCAAAGTCTTCAAGATTGTGAGTTCAACCATCTTTAAAATGCACAAAAGGAAAAACAAACAAAACCTCAATATCAGTGGCTGCTTACAAGTGAGAGAATTATGGATTTATTTTCTGATTTTTTCCAAAATTTCTACAAAAATATATTGCTTTTATGTAAAAAATAAGCTAAATAGAGAAACCAAAAGAACTCTTTTTTTGAAAGGCTAATTTATCAACCTAGATTTTAGCCATCACTAAACATCCCCTATTCTAAAATTAGCATCTCCCCCCACCCCCAATTATTTCTTCAACTGTTCCAAAATCCCTTTGGAAAAAGGAAGTAATAAATTCAAACCATAGTAAAAACATACCACTACTTTTGGAAGCTCCTTATAAATCTGTTTCACAAAATCCAAAAAATGATGAATCTAAAAAAAAAAAGACACTTTCGTTATAGGAAGATATTCATAAACAAAATGCTTATAAGAAAAATCATGTTAATAATAATCTTGATATGTAAGAACTCATAAAATAGGTAAGGACAATGTCAGACTCAAGATACAAATAGGCAATAGATGTGAACAAACAAAATATATATAACTATCAAGAAATAGAAAACAAGTTTCTAATTCAGGAAGAGCAAAGAGATGAAAATTAAATGCCACTTTTTGCCTTTCAAAAATAGTAATACACAATGTTTGAGAGGGTGTGATGAGAGGAGACTCATATCCTACTCAGGGAACACAAACTGCTGAAATCTTTCTAGAAATCAGCTTAGCAGTATATATCAGAAGCATTAAAACATTAATACCTTCGACTCAGTAATTCTACAAACCTAGTCTACAAAATAATTTATACCATATTCAGTAATAACCATAGAATAAATAATTTGAAATACCTTAAATATCCAGAAAATAAGGATACCCATAAGAAATATTATGTACCCATTAAAAGTTTATTTTATAAAGAATTTTTTATGGCTGGGAAAATGCTTACATATAATAAGAAAGAAAATGATCAGGCTATAAGATGTTATTATCACAATTATGCAGAAAATATACATTAAGGTGAGGAAAAGAGAAGAAAATCACCAAGACATTAACTTTTTTTTTCTTTCTTGGAGACAGAGTCTCGCTTTGTTGTCCCGGCTAGAGTGCAGCGGCGTCATTGGAGCTCACTGCAACCTCACGCTCCTGGGCTCAATCTATCCTCCTGCCTCAGCCTCTGGAGTAGCTGGGACTATAATCTTGTGCCATGATGCCCAGCTAATTTTTCTATTTTTAGTAGAAACGGGGTCTTGCTCTTGCTCAAGCTGGTCTTGAACTCCTCATCTCAAGGGATCCTCCAGCCTCGGCCTCCCAGAGTGCTACCACTACAGGCGTGAGCCACAGCACCCGGCCAAGACATTAACTATTGTTTTTAAGATGACAGGAATTCTATTTCATCATTATGCTTTTAATCTCCAAATAATCTACAACAGACATCATCATCAGAGAAGGTACTATCGAATTTTGGCAAATATTGCATACTTCTTACTATGTAGCTAGGTGCCAATCATTGTACTAAGAACTTTAACTTTTATACCTAATTTTCAAACATTTTGAGCATATGCTATGATTATCCCCATTTTACAGAAAAGTCTCCAAAAGGTTCCGAGCTTACCCAACGTCACACAACTACTGACATGCAGAGTTGAGAGTCAAACCCGAATATGACTTCAGAGCCCGCATCTCTACTCTCGTACATGATTGGCGCCTTCTGGCACATCAGCCATGTAAATACCAGAACAGAGCAGACAGACCTGCCAGGCTGGTCAGTTTGTCTACTGAACAAATTCAGAAAAGTACTGATATACACAATGGGAAAAAAGTCACTGTTGAACCCATAAACAACTGCCTCCAACTGAAGCTGTATTTTTTACATTTAAAAGCAGCAGATGTTCAATCAACTCTAAAAGAGAATAAAAAATGTATATGGCAGAAGGATTTGATGACACACTTCATAAATGCTATCAGGATAAACAACTTACTTCTTGTGTGATCGGTGGCCTGAACTGTTTGTGTAGCTCAATAATTATTCTTAGACAAATAAGAACATTTTCTTCATTTTCCGTCTTTAAAAAAAAAAAAGCATTTACAAATAGTTATACCTCTGAGGACTTAAATATTAAAGACTAATTTTCTAAGCATTTTCTGAACACACATTCGCCATCAACCAAATTCTACTTGATTTGTTGAAAATTCATAAGCCCATAGCATATAGCTCTCCCAGACAGGAAGCTTTTGTGGTCTTTTGTGGAACACCTGAAGGGCATGCCACCAGCAAACACTGAGAACAACACTGACAGACAAATCAACTGGCTTTTGCAAGTCCCACCATGAACTAAGGACTTCATGGTCCAACTGACACTTTTCACTGTTTGAAAATATTGCTGAGACCAGGAAAGAATAATCATTGAACACCCCCACGTGGACTGAACTGTCTGGTAAGCACTTTACGAATGCTCTGTGCGTAGTGGGTACCATCCACATTTGACCTATGAGGAAGTGAGCCTCAGAGCAGTTGAACAATGTGGCTGACATGACACAGCTAATTAAGAGGCAGGACCAAGATCTGACCCAACTCTTACTCGCTCCAAAGCTCATCTTTCTGAGGGGCCCAGAAACATGAGAGAATTCTAAACACCTCAAGACTAAGAGGAGCAAGAAAACAATTTTAGGGATTACTTTAACGGGTACCAAATGGATTCGCCCCAAGAATTCGAGATACTTTTTATGATACTTTTTATCTACTATGCATACAGTACTTGCTCGAGATATATTATACGGAAGGGAGAGCACCTTGCAAATGAACCCCAAGCTCTCAGTCAACCACCGCCCAACTCACCGTCCACAAATTTTTCAAAGATTTCCACTGTGTCTAATCAATTTCCCAGTGACTCAAACAAACGATCTTCAATTAAGTTATCTTTCTTAGAAATTTAATCGAGGAAATTGGGGGAAGGGACATTAAGAAAAATTTTTACCCACATGAATCAGAACTTGAATGAAAGGGAAACAATTGTAAAATACTAGATTTTACCGTAAGAAAACCATTGAAAGTGCTGAGCGTGGCTGTATGACGAGAATTAATTCTCAAATGTTACCTCCAAAAAGCGAAACATCACAGACAAAACATTTTTTGTATGAGGACGAAGATGTTCATTGGTTGGTATTCTATGAATTATTTCAAGTACTAGCTTCCGCAGTTGCTGGCAAGGAAAAACAAAAAATGTAAAGATAAAAATACTTCCAAGGGGTCCAAATTAATACTCTCACATTCTCCAAGTATCACACAGCTGTCTGAACTACCATACTACAAAATGGATCTGATTTTAGAAACACCTCCATTTAAACTACTTAAATATAAACCAAAATACGTACTGCAAATCATTATTTTCAATACTTCTACAGTTGTGTATCAAATCAACTAAGCCAATTTCTCCTTTTCACAACTTATCAGTATTTCCAGCAGGACACTATTGTGCAAATATGGAACAGATTCAAGACGAAAGAGCGAAACACAAACATAACCTACTTTAGGATCTCCCTTCTCAATCTTGGGTTAGCTCCTAGGATGCCATCTCCTATTACCCTGGGCACAACAACTAGTGAAGTCCTAAGCTGTTCTCGGCTTTCATGATTCTGTCTGTGCAGATGACAACTAAGAGGTAGGTCAAATCTGTATGGTCTTGAACTGGTATAATATAAAAATGGTTTATTTACTGATGAACTTTCACTGGTATTATGGCAATGTTTTTTTAAAAGTTATTAAGAGATATATGTTGAAATATTTATAGAAAAAAATGGTAATGATGGGACTATATTTAAATGGTCATGGTGGGTGGGTGAAGAGTATGGCAGTGTGCGCAGATAAAACAAAATTGGCCATGACCTATAGGAACTGAAATAATTAAGATTAGAGTTACTCAGTAGGTATGATTGGGGGGGGTCATTCCTTCCTTTGCATATATTTGAATTTGTCTTAATGACCCATATATATCCACACATCTTCGGTTGGCAAATGTGAATAATTTAAATCATAAAAGAGATGGCCCAGACAAAATAAAACCAAGACATTTAAGTGAGGTGGCAATGGTCCTAGACAAAGTTATCCTTAGGTGACAAAACCTCTTTCATTTTTCAGTAGGACCCTGAGTTTTCTCAGTTAATTCATAAATACTCATGATCCTACAGTATGACTTTTTGTTCCTCACTGATATTTTCAAGATTACCTGGGCTGGTTTCTCCTGAAGAAATTGAACTTCTCCATCTTGAAGAAATGTAAGAAATCGAGGGATGATATGTTCCAGGAATGTAGAATACTGAGGAGATGACGTTACATTCTAATCATGCAAAAAGAAAAGTCCGTTAAGTTATGTGTACATATTTTTATTTCAAATTCACATATTATAATAATCTCAAAGGAATGTAAAATAGTTTAGCAGAGCTAATGGTAACTTTTAACACTCACAGATGCTTTAGTGATAATGTAATTTTAAATAAATTAGAATGATTATTGCTTCTGAAATCCAATTCAAGAGAACTAAATGCTAAATAAAAATTACCATTAAAATTAGAAATACCAATACTTTGGAAAATGTTGAATTTGGAGCCCACTCTAGGCTGGCTCTGCCACAATGCAAGTATGAGACCTCTGAGAAGTCATTTAGCTTCTATATCTCAGTTTCTTCATCTGGAAAAGAAAGAACCTAACAAAGTGACACCTTTTTCTAACCTAAAAATCTAATTTAATAATCAGATCTATATTAATTAGATTCTAATCTAATCCATTATTTATCCCAGCACCAATTTTAAAAGAATAGGAAATGAAACTATAGTTTGGAGAGAGTATAGTAAAATGACCAAAAGTGCAGTTTCTGGATCCCACTTAGGAAGTGACAGTTACTTAACCTCTCTGGGAATCATATATTACTTCCTGCTTTCCTTACAGGACTATTGTGAAGATTACGTAAGTTACTGTATGTAAAGCTTATAACACCATCTATGTAAATGCTCAGTAACTGTTATCTGTTATTATTTACAGAGCACTTAGGTGCCAAACACTGTGCTATGTGCCTTTTATTCGTTCTAACTTGGTCCTCACCACAACCCTGAGTAAGTATTATCTCCATTTCATAGATAAAGAGGCTCAAAAAGGTTAAAAAGTTTTGGAGTCAGGCATGGTGGCTCAAGCCTATAATACTAGCTATTTAGGAGGCTAAGTCAGGAGGATTGCTTGAACCCAGGAATTCAAGACCAGCCTGGGCAACATACCAAGACCCCTATCTCAAAAAAAAAAAAAGGATTTGAAAGTGGATTCAAATCAAGTATATCTAAACCCAAGTCCTTCTTCTCTCTTAATACCTCACTTATGGCCAGGCTTAGGAGCTCACATCTATAATCTTAGCACTCTGGGAAGCCAAGGCAGAAGGATCGCTGGAGGTCAGGAGTTCGAGACCAGCCTCAGCACCAGCGAGACCCCATCTCTACTAAAAATAGAAAGAAATTAGCCAGGAAACTAAAAATAGAAAAAATTAGCCAGGCATGGTGGCACACGCCTGTAGTCCCTACTACTCGGGAGGCTGAGGCAGGAAGATCGCTTGAGCCCACAAGTTTGAGGTTGCTGTGAGCTAGGCTGACGCCACGGCACTCTAGCCGGGGCAAAAGAGTAAGACTCTGTCTCAAAAAAAAAAAAAAAAAAAAAAAAAAAAGAATAAAAATAAAAATAAAATACAGAAAGTCAGTGAGGCCAATTTGTGTGAGCTAGAGAGAAAATGACAAGAGATGAAGTTAGAGGGATAGAAATATATATCGAACTATATTATGTAAGGATATTATATTGTAATAAGGGTTTAAATTTTATCTAATTGCAATGAGGAGGTTTTGAAATGATTTAAGCTGTATCAAATTTGCATTTGTTAAGAATCCAGACAGCCACTGTGTTGAGAATTAATTTAAAGGTTAAGAATGGAAGGGGGAGGTTGATATTGCAGTATCCTTGAAAAAGAGATGATAATGGCTTTGTAGAGGTGAAGGAAACATTCCTTCCACCCTCTGAAGGTTCAATCTCTGGGATAAATTTAACAATAGACAGACTAACAAGAGAAAAATCATACAAATTTATTACATGCATATGCACAGGAGTCCCACAAAATATGAGCCTCAAAGAAGGGAATGATGGTTAAAGCTTAAATAGCATTTTCAGCTACAAAGAAAAAGGAGCTTGTTGTGGGGAGATGGTAATGCCAGATATGGGAGAGTAAGGGGAAGAAAGGCATGATGAGCAAAAGTTGTCTTATTATGGAGATAAATTCTCTTAGGTAGCAGCCCTTAGAATAGGTGATAGGCTATGCCAAATTCTTTCTGTGTTAGGTGTAGATATGATCTTTCCTGTATTTGTTCTAGGTGGGTAAGGATCCCTCAGAGAAAGCCTCTGCTTGCATTTGATGTTTACTTTACTAATGTAGATAGATTTTTTTTTTTTTTTTTTACAAGAGGACAGTTTTTCAGAACTATTCCTGTGTCTGTAGCTTCTCTGAATAGCCATCTCCAAATATGTCAAGAAGTTCGTTTTGGGGTGGCATATTTTAGTCTCCCAGAGTTAGATTTTAGGGCGGTATTTCCTGAGAAATACAACCAGTCATATTTTAGAGTGGTATTTTCCCAACACTTTGAGAATAGGAAGTTCAAATAAAAAGGGGCATATATGTATTTTATAATTAAAGCAAAGAGCAAAACTGAAGAGAGAATATGGAGACAGGGAAGAAAACCAGAAACAAAATAATTCTTAAGTTTTTTGGCTAAAGCATCAAAGTAGATGTTGATGTTCTTTACTTAAAGTGGAGAAGGGTCAGATTTGAGTGGAGTGGAAGGCAAAAATTATTTTGATTATTATTTCTTACTCCTTTTGGGAATAATAAAATATATCTATTTTTTTAAACTTGATTTTTCGTGATGTTATAGCACACCACCCTATGAATATATGCTAATTCAAAGGAATATTCCTCTATTGTTTAACATTTGTTTCTCTATTATAAACAATATTATAGTTAACATTCTTATAATTAAATATGTATATGGGCTAAATTTGGGTTACTTTCTAAGAATTAAATTGTGGAAATAGAACCTTTAGTCTTATGCAATGTTTCAAATGCTTTGATACTGTTGACTGTTGCCCTCCCAAAAGACCAGTATAAAAAGCTACTGATTAAGCAAATCTAAGATTATTAGACTTCCTGCAAAAAGATGAGAAACACCAACTTGACAGAACGTCGGATGGGAAAATCAGGAGAGAATATTTATATGGTTTGAGTAGGGGGCTGTGTGGTTTTAAGGTAGAACTTGTAATTTGTATAACTGGCTGAGATTAGCAGAGTGTATGATAAAGTGGCTTTGGATTAATAAGCAAAGTGAGTTAAGGGTTTTGAAGTAAGTCTTTTTTTTTTTTTTTTTTTTTTAGACAGAGTCTCACTGTGTTGCCCCGGCTAGAGTGCCAGGTTGCTGTGAGCTAGGCTAATGCCATGGCACTCTAGCCCAGGCAACACAGTGAGACTCTGAAAAAAAAAAAAAAAAAAAAAAGAAGTTAAAGGTTTCCTGTCACCAATCTGGCAAGCTGGTGAGAGGAGGCACCCAGGCAGTTAAATGTAGGGCTGAAGAAAAAGGCAGCGACTTGTCTATCATAGGGGCAACTTCAGAAGAGTCTATAAAGGCAGGCACGGGGGGGAAATCAGAAAGCAGTGTGGAGCAGGGAAAGAAACCACTGCAATTCTTGGCACGCACACCTACACATCAGTCTCCTGGGGGCTCCACTCACACAGAACACTGTACAGGGGGGACCCCAGGGCTTGTGCAGTACCTGAATAGCTTCTCCCCAAGTAGACTGTGAATTTGTTGGGGACAAGAACTGTGTCTGTCACCTTTCACCCCTATAGCTTAGGATTTTTTATGAAACAACCACAATCAAGGATTCAAGGAAAAGAGGGATAAGATTCATGCTGGAATGCTGAACTGCCAGCTTATCAAGAAATCAAACACATCTGCATATGAATCGATACTAACTACTGACTACACAGCTCCAAACATTTGAGTTCCAAATTTCTCCAATAAAAAAGGCTCATTCAGCTGGGCACTGTGGCATGTGCCAGTAGTCCTAGCTATGCAGGAGGCTGAGGCAGAAGGATCACTTGAGCCCAAGAGTTCAAGGCCGCAGTGCACTATGACTGTGCCTGTGAATAGCCACTGCGCTACAGCCCAAGAGACACAGCAAAACACTGTCTCTAAAAAAAAATTCAAAAAAACATTCATTCAACAAGCTGCCCAGGTATTCTGCCAGTATTTCAACGCAATCAGCTTTTTGATCCAGATGAATTTTTCATGTGATTTCTAACTCAAAGATTTATTTTGTCTTAAAAGATGGCCCATTTATTAATTACTTAGGCCAGAATTTTATCACTAAGTGGACAGTGAAATGAATCTCTAGGATTTCTGAAATCATTAGGAGTTGTTTTTTGTTGTTGTTGTTGTTCTTTTTAATTTCACTCACTTCATTTAAAAATTTTTCTAGGGTGGTAGTGGTGATAATTTAGAATTGCCTACTGATGGTCATTCTAGTATTTAATTCTTTGATTTAATTTTAACTCAGTCCTCTGAATTTCATTTAAGGTAAATGTTTAGATACATAAATTTCAAAAATCACTATTTGGAAAAGCCCCAAGTATACTGCTTCACTAACTTTTAATTCTGTTAATTTAATCAATGCATCTGAGATCAAAAGCCAGGAACTAACTTGTGAACTATAGACACGAAAAAGGAGAGTAAAGCCAGACACTTAATCCAGATAGCCCCGAGCCACGCTCAGAAGCTTGGCCCATGTGCTTGTTTATGCAGGTTCACAGATACCCCCCCCCCCATTTCAGCTTCTCAAATCAACCTGCTAGGACTATGGTTCTCTCAGATCATTCTTCCAATAAAATGCAGAATGGAAGCTTAATCTCTTCTGCCTCCCACCTCTTTTTATATACATTTTTTAACAGCTTGCTTTAGCAGCTTGGGCAGAAGAGAAAGCTCTTTAGCTAGATCTCTAAGTATCTCAATATTTTTTTTCTAGCTTGGCTCAAGGCAACAAGTCCCTGAAAACGTCTATTTAAAAAAAATACACTAAAATACTATCCATCACTACAGACAGTAGGGTATCTGATTCAATCCCACTAGCATTTATTTAATGTTTATTAATTCAAAAGACCATGCATGGGCTAGGAAACATTTTATCTACTGTTCTTAACCTTATTAACTCTGTGAGGAAGGTTTTATTATCCCCATATCAAAAATAAGAAATCTGATACTTTTGTAGTTCATAAGCATGGCGACGGAGGTTTCATGCTCGTGTCAGATGTGCCTCCCTCAAACCTTGTTATGCTATTGGCACATTACCCATGTGACATGAAAAAAATTTAAAAATAAATAAAAAATAAGAAATGTGACTTTCTCATCTGTCTGAGACTAACTGCTCCCAGGTGCACCATAAAGTTGAGCAAAAGATGAGATAACTTTTCTCAGGTGTTGGACAAGGGGCAGCATAAGACCGTGATTCCCGAGAGGAGGGAGAGTCACAAGTTCAGCCTCATGCTCATCACAGCTCTCTGCCTAGGTGATCTAGGAGACTAGGGTTCAGTACGCTGGGTCCAAATGGAGAACAGGCCTGCTGAGCTGAGGAGGCAAACCTCAGAGTTCGGGGCAGCTAAAGCGGATGGAATCTGCAGAGCAGAGCACCAGAGAAAAATGAACTACAGAGCAGGGGGGTGAGGTGGGCTCCCAGAAGGCCCTGACTGAGGGCTGGGCTGCACACACATAGAGTAACGCTACCTAAAGCTTACCAGAGAGTGGCCCCTTTAGAATTGAGAGATGAACAAAGATACCAGCGCAATGTGGAGCAATGTTAGAGAATGTTGGATTTAGCCTAGCCAGAGTGCAAAGACCTACTTAATATCTTGGGATAACATATCCCAGACATCAGACATCCAGCTGAGGAAGGACCACGCCCTAAAACCAACCTCTGATGAGATCCATGGGGAGACAGAGTTTAGAGGTTGAATCCCATCAAATTAGAGACTTTGGAAACACCTTGGGCCAGGCACAGGTCCTCCTTATCAAAGCATAAAACCAAGCCTACATACGATCAGTGAGATGAGCTGGCAACTGAACTACCTATTACAAAAATATCAACACTCTTCAGAGATAACAGAATCTAGAGTCCCTACATTTCACAAATAATGTCCGCTGTATAATAAAAAATTACTAGACAAGCAGAGAAACAGGATAATGTGACCCACAGCCAACAGAAATTGACCTTGAGATAGCCCAAATGTTGGATTCAGTAGATGAAGACTTTAAAGCAGCCTTTATACAGTCAATGTGGTCAAAACTAAAAGAATATAATCTTAATCAATGAACACAGGGAATCTGCAGGGAAATAAAACCTACACAAAACTATGGAAATTCTAGAACTAAATGTACAATAAATGAAATTTAAAAATACAAAAAATTGAAAATTTTTTTTAAAACCTAGCAGATTAGAGATGACAAAGTCAGTGAACTTGAAGGGAGATAAACAGAAATTATCCAATCTAAAGGACAAACAGAAATAAGACTGAAGAAAAATAAACAGAGACTGAGGGACCTGTGGGACAATAATACAATTTCAGAATGTGAAGTCCAGAGAGACTCTTTGATCAAGGTCACAGAAGTCCTAAGTAACAGAGCCAGAAATGACGGCCAGATCTCATTCCATCATAACATAGCATCAATTACCTGAAGATAACAAAGTCACAACCTAAGTTTGAGTGCATTCTGAGAGTATATGCCTTAAAAAGTTACATTTAAAAATGAAAAAAACGTTAAAACTAAACCCAACATTCCTCAACATAGTGTGGGGTTCACCATCACTAGTGTGAAGGTAGACGACACTGTGTACAACTTTTCAGTTTTTAAACATAATAAATTACATTAACAAAGACAATGACTTTTTAGTTACTAGTAAGACGACTAACAGAACAGCAATAAGAAAGTGCATAAGAATGTTTACCTCAAAATGTAAAATATATAAAGCTCATACCTCAAAATTTTCACTAACTTCTTGCATCATTTTTAACTTTGTTTCATCAGCTGTAAATGGCAAAACAAACCATCAGATAATTGAAATTATGTTAAGGTTGTTTCTAAAATTACTAGATTTAATAATTTCAGAGAAGCAATCAGATCTTATCAGTTTGACTGTCATGGCCCAATAGAAGGCACATAGCTAGTTCCCTACAACCAGTCGCACACATTCATACTATCAGACACACATGTGCATGCACAGATAAGGATACAGATACACACAGACACACACACACACACAGACACACACGTGCCTCTTTGGGGCTCCAGCCAGTACTGCTCATCACTCTGCTTCTCTACAAGGTAGAGGAGGGGAAAACAAGGATAAAAGTTAATGTTACTATTTGTCTCAAAGTGCACATCATTTGCAGTGATATGAACGAGTCATTATCAATGCATTTCTTAATGACAAAAAGGACCAACTCACGTGTATTTACATCTGTGAGAGCTGCCACAAACTGAAGGTACTTTTTCATCAGAGTGGTTTGGTCAACCACGGTGGCCCCTTGTGTTGCAACAAACGCCATTTTTCTTTTGAGCTGGTTTGTTTCTCAAGAGAAAAGTATCAGGTCCATGAGTTCACCCAGCCTATGAAAAGAAGCATATGGTTAGCTAATTTACAAAGGGCATGGGCTCACACTCTATAAAAATCTTACCTAAATGCCTATATTCAGTTAAGTACTTCCGCATTAATCCACAATATAACACTATTCCTTCTGCTTTTTTGAATATAAAATGTACCCAAATCCATTTTGTCTATTAATTACAAAACATGATTTTTATACACAGAAGCTTTTCTTTCCTACCGTATTTCCTTCTTTCCCTAAGTCAGGGGTTGGCAAACATTTTCTGTCAAGAGCCAGATAGTAAATATTTTAGTCTTTGTGGGCATAAAGTCTCTGTCACAACCACTCAGCTCTGTTGTAGCCAGAAAGCAGTCACAGACAACATGTAAATGAACAAGCGAGGCTGTCTTCCAATAAAACTTTATTTATGGATGCTGAAATTTGAATTTCATATAATTCCCATTCATCTTGAAATATTATTCTTCCTTTTTTCCCCCTCAGCCATTTAAAAACATAAAAAACATTCTGAGTTCCCGGGCTGTATAAAAACAGGGAGCAGGCTGGATTTGGCCTGCCAACTGTGGTTCAGCAAGCCCTGCCCTAGGTTGATTGTTTGCAGCTGGCACACAGGCACTCCAAAAATGTTCCTTGAATGAATAAATGCTTCAAAAAGCACTTCGGTAAGTCAGGAACAGACTGATGACCACATTTTGAGAACTGCTGCTTGAGCTGACATGTAGATGGAGACTTGGTTTCTATTTTAAGAGCTGTCACAAAGTACAGAGAACTTGGTGAAATTGCTTTTACCCATCCTCCTTGCATAATTTCACTCTGCATTAAGAGGTGGTTTCATGGCTTCGTTTTCTTTCTTCAACAGACACACCAATAACTCCTTTGCAGGCCTTCCAAAGGCCCTGACCTACCGAATACACTCCCCTGCAGATGGCACAGGTGATTGGGCCACCCTGACACCAGAGAGCTCCTTCCAGCCACTCTCTCTGACACACGAAAAACACTTCTTCCATGCAGAGAGGATGCCCACAGCTGTCCTCGAACAGCCCACCAGAAGCCCCAATCCTCTGGCTCAGGGCAGAAGTCACTAAGGAAACCAAGGCGAGGGTGACTTGGCAACTGTTCGCCTCTTTCAGGTCACACTCCCTCCTCCGAGCACAGGAGGCCCCACATCCCGTTCCCCATCCCAGGGGACCCAAGATTCAGGGTCACGGCCTCTCCCTGCCTAAGAGTACTGCCCAAACTTTTTACAGGCTCAGACCCCTTTTTTCACGAAGTCGTCAACTCTGCCATTTCCCGGGGCCCCAGAAGCCAGGCTCTGCCTCCCGCCGGGCCTGGGGCCCCTGACGAGGGAAACGTCCAGTTCCGCCTGTCTGTTGGAAAGCGGCTCGAAGACGCCGGAAGCCGAGGGCCCAGACCTGGCTGCCAGCGAGCCCACGGCGCCCAGGCCGAGGTGGGAAGGCCCCGGCGCGGAGGCGCCGACACCCCGGGGCAAACGGCCCCGCCAGCCCCGCCCCGCCGCGCAGAGACCCGTCGAGCCCAGCCTGAGGCGGCGCCGCCGAGCCAGAGGGGTCGCTGTCGTCGCCGCTACCTTGGCTGTCCGCGTCGGGCCTGGCGAACCAGGTGCCTGCGTGGAGGCCGGGAGGCGCCAGGCTGGCCCCGGGGCGCCTTTTGGGGGACGGGACCCCAACCCCTCGCCCGACTCTCCGATCGCAAACGGCCCTCCGGTTCCCTCCTTTTGTCACCGTCCCAGGCACTCCGCGACTGCCTCCCAGGCCGTGCTACGGCGAGCACCGAGGGCCAATCCAGGCGCCCGCTTGCCCTGCGCCTCCCATCGCTTCCTCCCGGCTCCGCCAGGAACCGCGCAGGTCTGAGGACCGCCTACATCCCCGGCGCCCCGGGGCGGGCTCCGGCGGAGGCCTACGGGAGCCCGGGCCGCTCGAAGCCCCGCTCCATCCCTCTGCGGAGCCGCCGTGCTGCAGAGGCCTCCCCATACCCGGGGGACGCGCGCGCCTCCCAGGGCCGTTCGGCCGCCCGCCCGGGCTTACCCTGACCTCGGCGGCCGTATTCCTGCAGCCCCGGAGCGCCACCTCCAACGAAACCCTCGCCGCCGCCGCCGCTCAGCCGCGCGCAGTCCCACCCCCGCTTAAAGCGGCAGCGTCCGCCGACCGAGAACTAGGCCCAGCGCGCCGCCCCCAAGTGGGTGCGGCCTGGGCGGGCGGCGGGAGCGGGGAGGGGCTTAAGCGGCCGGGGTGGCCGGTAGTCCCTTTAAACCGGCGCCTGCTGGACTGGGCCGCCTCCGGGATGCCGGGCGGGCAGGTCTCGAGCTGCCTTGGGCTCCTGTCCCTAAAACTCCTCGCAGGCGCCAGGCTGTGGGGAAGGCGCGGGGGCTGCTGCGGGGCGGTGGGCACCCGAGCGGCTTCCCGAGTTGACGGCTGTCGGGCCCCGGTAGAGTCCACCGCTGGTGACAGGCAGGGCGGGGTTTTCTGCTCCGCTACCTTCCTGGAGCCCTTCTTAGCCCGAAGAAAGGGGAGGAGGCAAGGAGGGTTTTTGGAAAGGCGAAGAAACTCTGTTAGCAAAATAAAGCCCAGGTGTTCCGCCCGGAGGAGGCTGCAGTAAAGCCCATTTGTTTTGCAGCTGCATCTGTCAGAGGCTGGATCTACCTGGGGCAAAACCAGGTGGACAGCAGCCTCGGGTCAGGCCAGAGCAATGAACAGACCGACTGGGGAGTGGGGCAGAACGCCCTGATACCCAGCTGAGGTGGCATGGGCCAGACCAAAAGGCTTCTCAAGAGGGCAAAGTACTGTCAGGTCTCACCTACACACTCCATCCATGAGAGTGGTTGACTAGCGAGCTGTTCCTGTCAACCCATGGTTACCATGTTAGATGGACAGAGAGCATGACAATATGACCTGAATTCCACCGCCTCCAGGCCCTGGCTTCACCTCCTGACCTTCCTGTACCTACCCCTCACCCCATCATCATTAACCCACCAACATAGTTGTGTTACTTTCCCAGATACATTTCACACCGTGCAATAAACAGAGCTTGCAAGCCCGCAGAAAAAGGAGACCATTCTGATACATGCTCCTTGCTTGTTTTGATGATGCCACTTAAGAACAAGCCACAGCTGAAATGTTGAGATTGTGAGTGGATGTTTTTAGCCAATTATTTCTGCCCCAGGAGAAATAAAATGGATCAGAATACCTTACGGAAGTTGCCTGTTTGCAAGCAAAATTCTCTGTGCTCTCACTGCCACCAACCCAAAAAGTAGGAGATCCAAAGTTGAGGAAAACTGAAAAATCTGGGGCTGAATTCAGTTGCTCAGGGTTGTTTAATATTGTTTGGGGGTGGGGGACAGGTAGAGAGAAAAAGCGGTAGACAAATTTTTTCAGAAGTTTCATCTTAGTCGCATATTATTAAGATATATAGTTAGGCCCAGCCATAACATTGACAAAATCGCTGCACATCCCTGGGTCCTGAGCTTCTATCAAAATACCCAGCACACTCATGATTTTTTGCCTGTTTTCTTGTCTGTCTCCTAGATTAGAGGTTAGGGACAGTCAACTTCATCCCTAGCGGGTAAATTAGATCATGTTCCCTCCTCTGCTTAAAACCCTGCAAAGACTTCCCAGCACACCCTCATCACCTGGCTCTGCTCACCTCTGAACTCAGCCCTCGTTCTCATGTTCCAGCCACAGTGGCCTTCCCGTGCCTCATATCCACCCACACTGCTCCTGGCTTAGGACCTTTGCAGCCAGTTCTCCCAACTACAATGTTCTTCTCTCAGAGACACAGAGCTGGCTCTTTCTCATCCTTGCTCAGCTCAAATGTCACCTCCTCAAAGAGGCCTTCCATAAGGACAAATATGGGACAAAACTCCTCCCACTTCCTGTCTCTCATTATACTGTTTACCCCATATCCTCACAATCTGAAATTATTTATTTACTAGTTTATCATCTGTTTCCCCTCCTTTTCTGTCTTTGTTCACCAAGGTATTCCCATTGCCAGTTGAGTGTTGTCTTGATCTGCTAGGGCTGCCATAACAAAACATCACAGACTGAGTGGCTTAGCAACAGTTCCCGAGGCTGGTCTGAGACCAATTACCAGCAAGGTAGGTTTCACTCCGAAGCCTCTTCTCTGGGCTTGTAGGCAGCCACTATCTCACATGACTTCTTCATTGTGGACACATTGGGAAAAAGAGAGAAAGAAAAAGAAAGAGGTCTGGTGGTTTTTCCTCTTTTTTTTTTTTCAGAGATGGAGTGTTGCCATGTTGCCCAGGCTGTTCACAGTTACAATCATAGCCCATGACAGTCTCAAACTCTTGGGCTCAAGCCATCCTCCTGCCTCAGCCACCCAAGTAGCAGGGACTACAGGCATGTGCCACCCATCCTGGCTATTCCTCTTTTTTTTTTGAGACAGAGTCTCGCTCTGTCGCAGGGTAGAGTGCAGTGACGTCATCATAGCTCACAGCAACCTCAAACTCCTGGGCTCAAGTGATCATCCTGCCTCAGCCTCCTGAGTAGCTGGGACTACAGGCACGCCCCATGATGCCCGCTAATTTTTCTATTTTTAGTAGAGATGGGGTCTCGCTCTTGCTGAGGCTGGTCTCGAACTCCTGAGCTCAAGCGATCCTCCCACCTGGGCTTCCCAGAGTGCTGGGATTATAGGCGTGAGCCACTGCACCCTGCCCTATTCCTCTTCTTATAAGGACACAAGTTCTATTGAATTAGGGCCCCACCCTTATGACCTGATTTAGACTAAATTACCTCTTTAAGGGCCCTGTCTCCAAATACAGTCACACTGGGGTTAGGGCTTTAACATAGGAATTTTGGGAGCAACACCATTCAGTCCATAACAGATGTTTAATAAGCAAATGAATACATGTGTACCCTGCCTGGAATAATGCCCTCCCTAGGGTGGGGATCCACTGGAACATTAGGAAGGAGAGGGCAGGGAGTCCCAAAATATCCACTCCGGTAGGCATGAACAATTTGCACTGGTGGTCTCCATTGCGGAATGAGTCAGGGCACAAGGTCTCAGCATGACCCTTTGAGAGCCATGCAGAGGCTCTCCCTCCTCCACTACGTGCTGGAGTCTCTGCTTGCCTTTGCCTTACACCTTGTGCTTCCCAGAGCCTGGCCCTGTGGGTTCTACCCCTGCAAAGAACCTTTCCTGTGATCACCTGGCACCTTATCCTTCCTGGATCACTTGTGGGTTTCAACAGGGCAACTGGGTGTCCTGAGGTCTGACAAGTCCAATGCCCTGGCAGAGCTGAGGCCCTGAATTCAACAAAGGGATCTCCCTGAACCCCATTTCACACACCTTTCCCGTCCCCCCCCCCAGCTACCCTAGGATTTAGCCCTAAAAGCAAGCTGATCTGGAGTCATTATTATCTGGTCAGGGCCCCCATCTCCCACAGTTGCATTCCCAGTGCAGGACAATGAGGACATGTGGTAGGAATATGGACCCTGGGGCTGCTGCCCTTCCATTACCAAAGGAGATTCAGTTATACCACCTTGCTAGAGCCAACAGACCAACTAACAAGCTTTAGAAAGATTTTCATTGGCAGGAATTGACACCAAATAAGTGGGAACTTTCCATTACCCAGAAAAATGTAATTAACCAAAGCAGGCCATACCCCCCAGAGCCAGGTGAATGAGGTTTTACTGTCCACAGCTTCTTATCTGTCTCTGGGGTTGCCTGTGGCTGCTGTTCTGGCTGTTTGGCCCCAGGTGACCCCCATTATGGCTGCCCTCTGTGTGTGTTGTGACCAATGCTCACCTCTCCAGAGAAGAGGATGTTCCCTCTGTGTGCCACTGCAGGGATCGCATGAGATACTGTCTATGAAAGCAGCCCAAGGGGCCAGCACTGAGGAGTAGGCACTAACAAATGGTCGTCCACGTGAATTTTCACTGATTCATGTTCAAGGGCTTTCCAAAAGGGCTTTCCAAGGAGTTTCCAAAAGAACCATTTATCCTTTTCCTTCAGCCATTCAACAAGCATCTACTCTGCACTAAACCATATGCTAAGTTGAAGGCAGGAAGGTACACTAAGCCAGGATGCTGGGAGTAGAGTCAGAGTCACTGCACTAAGAGGTATATGTGGCCTGTGTGGGCTAGACTGTGAGAATTTGTGAAAAAAATGACCTTTGGGACAGTAAGATGCATTTGTACCCAGAGAGTTTAAAACTGTGCTTTCCACTTCAGTAGTCACATGCAGTGTGGCTGGTCTGAATGAAGATGTTTTCCAAGTATAAATTGCACACCAGGTGGTGAACACTTGGGATGAAAAAAAGGAGGTAAAATACCTCATCGATAATTTTTATATTGATTACATGTGGAAATGATATTTTGAATATATTGAGTTAAATAAAATACAGCATTAAAATTAATTTCACCTGTTTCTTTTTTTTAATGTGGCTCCTAGGAAATTTAAAATGACATACATGACTCGAATTATATTTCTAGTCAACAACATCAATTTAGAAAAGCTGGCTTTCTGAAAGGATTTCTTGTCCCTCTGCCATCAGACGTTCCCTGCAGGACTCCGGAATAAGGGGGCTTCTGGGCCTGTTATGAGATGGAACAGGGACAGGTGCTGTGAGAGTCCAAAAGAGGGAAGATGGCAGCAAGGGAATGATGCTTATGGAAAATCCTGGCGGACGGACAGGAATTAGACAAAGGGGTCAAATCAACGTCAGCCTCAGGTTGGCCTCGAAGTTGGCTATTGTGACATAGACACTGGCTACTATAAAATTATTAGTGTAATAAAGTTACACATTTAAAAAACAATACATTTTATTCTATTTAGTGCATTTTAAACACCACTAGCAACCAGACCTTTGAATAATGTTAAATAGTCTTAAATACTTGAAACTCTTAACCTTAACAGAGTATTTTCTTCTCAAGCACTTCAAATTCCTGACGTACAAGCAAATCAGCCCAAGTCCTCAGGCAATTCTACTGGTGACAGCCAGCACTGATTCAACACTTCCGATTTTTCTTTAGGGCAGTCTCATCGGGTTGGAATTATTATCTTCATTTTAAAGAAAAAGGGAACTGAGGGATAGAAAAGGAAGTGATTTTCCGGGGTCATATAACACTCAGGAAGGACCCAAAGTCTCCTGGTTCCTAGGGTTGGTATTTATACCAGTGTAGTGGTTGATGCTACCAGGAAGTGACATCTGTCCAGCACTTTTAACTTTTCACAAGGGGCTCACTCAAATCCGTTCCCCCTCCCTTCCTAGGAGATGGCAGTGTGTCCGTGGGGCCCATCCTCAGGGGAGCCCACTGCTGTCCCAGAACCAAGGCCATGCCATGTAGATGCCCAATGCCAATGCAGCAGATCATGTAATTATGGCCCATGGTGCCCACCGGGCCAGAAAGCCCATCCAATCCCCTCGCCGTGTGGGAGGATCCCTGCCCAGGTATGGAGCAAAGCGGAGGGCAGCTGGACCAGGACCCAGGCCGGCCAGACCCCGCCAGGCCTCGCCAGCTTCTGGGAGAGAAGAACTCTGCTCTCGAAGGCAGATGGAAGCGTCTGCTTAGGCCCATCATCCCCATCGCGGTTGTCTGACTCTCGGAAGGCCCTCAGTGGCCATGGGCCCCGATGTGAGCCTGAGCTCCATTTTACAGCAGGCTCTGAGAAGGTAAACTGAAGGATGACATCAAACCCAGCGCAGGGACCCAGCGCTGAGGCACCTTTCGCAGAAGGGACGAGGGGCATTTCCATGTCCTTTGCCCAGCGCGTGCACATCGTTGGCGCTCAACATTTCTTGAAAGAAGAGCGGCATCTCCAAGCTGCGAGTGTGCAGAGCAAAGGCACCTGGAGAACCCCAAGGGGCCTGCAGGCGGCTTGCTGCGCAGCGCGCACCTCTGGGGACGCTGAGTCAGAGCCCGCGGGAGGGGACCCGGGTAGAGGAGGGGCGCAGGAGGAACGCGGGGAGGGGGCGCCGCCGTGGGGACGGATGCGGGGAGGGACGCAGGGAGAGGACGGGGCGCGGCGCGGCTGACGCGGGCCGGGGTCGCGCGGCGGGCCGTGGGCGGCGGCGGTGGCGCGCAGCGACAGAGCGTCCCGAGACGAGGACGAGCGAGCGCGGCGCCCGCACCTCCCCGCACAGCCCGCGCCGCGCGCCCGGAGGAGCGGCCGCAGCCTCCGCCAAGCTTGAGCCGCGCTCCCTCCGCGTCCTCTCCGCGCTGCTCCGGCTCCGGGCCCCGCCATGGCCCCGGCAGCGTGGTCGCGCTTCGGCCGCGTCCTCTGGCTCGCCTGCCTCCTGCCCTTAGCCACGGCTAGGGTGGCCGCAGGTAAGGCGCTGGGCCGCCCGGCCTCCCCGCAGCCGCAGTCCGCCCGCGGCCGGGGTCAGTCTCCGGCGGACGGGCCGGCTCCGAGGTTGGGCTGCGGAGGTGGCGCCGTGCGCCCTGCGCGCACCGCGCTCCTCCTGGGAGGCCACTGCGCCCTCCGCTCTCGCCCTTCGCCCCTGTCCCCAGAAGTCGCCCTGGCACTTGAGGGGGCTCCCGCCCCTCTCGGTTCCTGCTTCCAACCCCGGGTGGGCTCTGCGTTGGAAACCACGCGGTGGCCGAAGCTGCGTCCGGACGCCTGGGGACTGGGCGCCCACTGGGGCAGGGGAGGATGATGCGGGAGGCCGGAATGTGCCAGGGTCGGTGGTCTCGCCACAGCCCCCCAGGGAGCACGGACGGGTGGCCCGCGGAGCAGCGTTTTTGCCTTAGAATGTCGCCTTATCTGGAGAGGTTTTCCACGCGGTGTGTGTTGGCTTTGGGGACATGCAATCTTAGAACCCAGGAGGCCAGTCTGCCATTTCCTCTCTGGGAGTGATTTCCAAAATGGACCCCGAGCTGACAGCTTCCTCGGGGCCCACCCTGGGCCCACCCTGCGCTCACCCGGTCGTGGGCAACCCCACGGCCCAGGGTCAGAAGGCCGGCACCAACCTTTCTGCCACGTTTCAGGAACCAAAAGGACCTAGACTGGAGCCTTGTCCAGGGACAGGTGGGACGTGGGCAGCTAAGAGGTTTAAACATCATCCAACATTTTTCATCTCCCCCCTCCCTGCCCCGCCTCTAAAAGAGTGGTAGAGGGAGGAAGGGATCTAATGCAAATTTGTGAGAGAAAAGCCACAAGGTAAAATAAAAACCTGCAACAACTCAGGGATGTATTAGAAGAATTTTGTGGGAATTGTGCTTGGTCAAGATCACCTGCTTTCCTCTGAAAAGGGGTCTCTTGCCCATTAGGTTTATTTGTGTTCAGAAATTATCAATGTGTCCTAAATTGCAAAAAAAAAAAAAAAAAAGGAAAAAAAAAGTGAATGAATTTTTTGGAAATCGTGTGGTTCCCAGGCTGGCCGATCGAACCCTTGGTATGGTCAGAATCACAGTGGCTGGGAGTGGGGTTGGGGAACATACCTTCTCCTTCACCCATGGGGGAAAAATAGAGGCTTCAAAGCCTTTACCAACCCTGCCAGTGTCCAAGTCAGCCTGGATGGAAGCTTTGTACACCAGGGATTTAGAAGTCAGAAGTCCATGTACTGGACCATGAGTGGATTCCAGGTTGTGTTATCCAGACTGAAAAGGTATCCTTGGAACGTGTTTTGGGCAGTGTGCCTATGCCATGTGAAAGGGCTATTGTAGCCATTTTCTAGAATGTTAAGGGCCCCACATGCTGTGTCGTTGGAAAATGTGCCAGCTCCAAGTGGAAGCCCTGGGGGCCTGGTAGGCGGATATTTTTTCTATGGGCCAAGCTTTAGGGCAGTTGTCCCTTCTCTTTTTGCTTTGGCCCCTTCTGGGTCACTTGGAATACCAGTAGAGTCCCCTAAGTCCCTGCCTCGGCTGCTCTGTACTCCAAGGGCAAGTCACCTGGACTCCCAAACCTGGAAAGACAACGTGATGAGTAGAGCAGCAGGCCCTGGGCTTGGTTTCTTCAGCCACACTTGGCAAAGGCTTTGTGGTCCATTTCAGTCCTGCATGCCCTGGACACCTCCGAGAGCCCTGAGGGAGAGGGACGGCGTCACCCAGGGGCCGTGGAACACCTGATTTAAACAAAATCAGTCTGAGAAAAAGTGCCCTTGGAGCCTCCTTGCAGCTGGGCAGGTGGGGTGCTCCAGAGAGCTGGGCCAGTGTCTGCGACAAGTCTGCAGCAGACCCAGCCCTCCCCGTCCCAACCCTCCCCCCTCCCAGCCCCAGCCGCTGCCCTCCTGATTCCATTCCCCTGGCAACGGATCTGCGGATCTGCGTCTGCGTCGCACTGACATGCGCCCATCTCACTGCAGATGCTGTTTGGCCATTAGCATGCAGCCGAATGTCCCTGCCACCTGCCAGCCTCACTCTGGCCCACGCTCTCAAGCAGGGTGGAGAGAAGGAGGGGAGGGGGGTTCTGGGAGCCAGAGGGAGAAGGGAGGAGGTTGCCTCTCATCCGAGCACTTCTCTCTGCGCAGCCCGGCCAAATGCTGCCTCAGAGCCCAAGGGAGGAGAACAGAGCTCAGTCAGGGTGGCACAGACTTACCTGGTGGCCCCAGGCAGCAGCAGCAGCAGTGGCCCGCGTGGCCCCAGGTCCCTCAATGTAATATGCGCAATGCGTTTGCTTGGAGAAGCTTCTACCACAGTGCCTGGAATTCTCTTTTTAGGGTTAAGATACTGCAGGTCCCTTTTTCAATGCCAGCATTTCCTCAGAAGTGACCATCCCTTGGCATCTTGACTCAGATGACTTTATAACTAAGAATGGCCTTGAAAGAAAGGGCCAGAGGAAAAGCTGGAGCTGGAGTCCCTAGTGCGGGCAGGCGATGTTGCCTGGAAGTGAATAGGACATACCTGAGGACAAACTCACCTCCTGGTTTCACTGAGAGGCTGAGAGTCCAACAGGTCGCCCACGAAGTCCTTCAGGGCAGGAGCAAGTCCTGTATTTCTGGGTCCCCCCAGCACCTTTGCACATGGGGCACACGGGACACCCAGTACCACCTGGGTCCCCCTGCCACACCCTGTTTTCCAGTTGTGACTTGGCAGCGGCAGTACTGAGCACCTACTGTGTGCCAAGCACTGTGCTGTGCACAGGGGAGATGGAGGTGACTCCTGCCCTCAAGGAGTTCCAGGTGCAGTGGGGGAGACAAACCTTTATTCCAACATGGAATTGTGTCAACGGTGGGCTCAGGCTGTTGGGAGAGCACCGAGGGGGCCAGGGGTACAGCAAAGGCTTCCTGGAAGACGGTATATCCACGGACAAATAGGTGCAGAGGGCATGCTAGCAGTGCAAAGGCCCTGGGGCAGGGGAGAGTGATTGAGACACTGAATTTTTAGTTTCAATTACATTTAAGCAATTAGATTAATTTAAATTGTGGTTTGCTTGGTGCAGGGCCTAGAGCTCAGGGAGTAGTTCTATGTCACTGGGCTCTATGGGCATCGAGGAGACACTTGCAGCCACGAGAGGGCTGAGCATGGTTGGGAAGGTGGGTTTGAGTGAAGGGAGCAGGAGGGGCTCGAAGCCCCTTCACCCCTTCCTTCTGTATCACCTCCTCTGCCCAGTGCACGCTGCAGCCTGCAGGGCTCACCTCGCCTTGTCCCAGCTGCTCTCTGGCATGAAGCCCTGTGGAAATCTCCCCTGAAGAAAGAACCAAATTACACGAAAAGCGTTCCACGCCCAGATGTGCAGGAGCACTGTTGAAAAGAGTGAAGGGTTATGTGAATTAAGATATACCTGCTTGAGGGATTATCATGCACATGTCGACATTGATATTAGTGAGATCACAGACATGCTTTTAATATTACTATATTGTCATATGAAAATAAAATAATTCAAAATTGTGTGTGGAGCATGATTATGACTACTTAAAAAAATTTCTATGCATGGAAAAGAGATGGGAGGACAGCAATCTGGTAACAGTTGTTGTCTTTGGGAGGGAGGGTCATAGGATAGTTAATGTTCTTTATGCATATGTATTACTTTCGTGATGAAAACAAACCTTATTTTTAAAATCTTACCTTGTTTATATGATAACATTATGCAGCTGTATAAAATAATTAAAGAATAATGACTCAGGAAAATGCCCAAGGCCAGGCATGGTGACCACACACCTGTAATCCCAGTACTTTGGGAGGGGAGGTGGAGGTGGGAGGATGGCTTGAGGCCAGGAGTTTGAGACCAGCCTAGGCAACATAGTGAGATCCCATCTCTACAAAAAAATAAAAATAAACTAGCCAGGCACGGTGGTGCGCTCTTGCAGTCCTAGCTACTTGAGGGGCTGAGGCAGGAGGATCACTTGAGCCCAGGAGTTTGAGGCTGCAGTGAGCTATGATCTCATCACTGCACTCCGGCCTGGCTGACAGCAAGATTCTGTCCCCTCACAAAAGAAAAAAGAAAGAAAGAAAAGAAAAGAAAAAAGAAAATGCCCAGGATACAGAAGTGAAAAAAATGTGATAAATAATCTCAGATTAAAAATATAATTAAAAAATATAGTAAGACATGCCCAAATATGGTAGCAATGGTTGTTATTGATTATTTTAATATTTAATTTAATAAGATTTTAATTTTTATTTTCTACTTTTCTTTGTTTTCAGAATTTTCCAATTAGTGTTACCCTCAATATGATCGGTGGGGGATGTTATTTTAAAAGCCCCTTCCCTGGCCTCCATTCCTACGTTCAAGGCCCCATTTTCTGCTAGGGACCTGCAAGAATGCGCCCCAGGCTCCCTGCAAGAGCTGTATCCAAGACAGTGCAGGTCAAACTCCCCGAGGACTCACCCTGGCTGGAATCACAGAGGTCCAGCATCGGCCCTGCCAGGAACCCTGGAGGTTCCCTAGCACAGCCCCGTTCAGTAGGGCTTTCTGCTGTCCAGTGTGGTGGCCATTGGCCACATGGGGCTGTTGAGCACTTAAAATGCAGCTGGCATGACCGAGAAACTGGGTTTTAAATTTGCTTCATTCTATTTATTTATTTATTTAGAGACACAGTCTCACTCTGTTGTCTGGGCTAGAGTGCCCTGTCATCAGCCTAGCTCACAGCAACCTCAAACTCCTGGGCTCAAGTGATCCTCCAGCCTCAGCCTCCCGAGTAGCTGGAACTACAGGCACATGCCACCATGCCCGGCTAATTTTTTCTATATATTTTTAGCTGTTTGGCTAATTTCTTTCTATTTTTAGTAGAGATGGGGGTCTCGCTCTTGTTCAGGCTGGTCTCGAACTCCTGAGCTCAAACGATCTGCCTGCCTTGGCCTCCCAGAGTGCTAGGATTACAAGCGTGAGCCACCGTGCCCGGCCAAATTTGCTTCATTTTAATGGAAACTTAAATTGCCACATGTGGTCAGTGGCTGCTGTGTTGCGTGGTGCAGATCTGGAACCTCTCACGGTATAGATTGAGCTAAGGTCTAAGTCTGGTCAGGCCCCAGCCATCCACACACTGTGTAAGGCCTTGCTTGGCTGGCATGAAAAAAATATATTAATTTGGGGACGCTGTAAAGAGCTTGTGATTTGGAGTCAGTCGGGCTGGAGTTCGAATCCCAGTTTGATGTTGGATTAGCTGAGTGACCCCTGGGCAAATTGCTTGATGCCTGAGCCCCAGTTTTTCCACCTGTAAAATAGAATAACAGACGCCAGCCCAGAGGTGGCAGTGGGGTTCCTTGCCACACCCCGTCTTGAAACATGGTCTTTGTTTCTGGGCTCCTAGGCATGTATGAACTCAATCTCACCACTGATGGCCCTGGCACCACGGGAGCAGAGGTGACCATCTCGGCCAGCCTGTTGGCCAAGGACAACAGCAGCTTGGCCCTGCCCGCCGATGCCCATCTCTACCGCTTCCACTGGATCCACACCCCGCTGATGCTCACTGGCAAGACAGAGAAGGATCTCAGCTCGACCATCCGCATGGTCAGCAGTGCGCCCGGGGACTTCCCGGTCTCCGTCTGGGTCACTGCTGCCAACTGCTGGATGTGCCAGCCTGTGGCCAAGGGCTTTTTGGTCCTCCCCATCACAGGTGAGGAGCTTCCCTGTTTGCTAATTAACCTTTGAACCCTCCATGCAGAGAAAAGCATCCACTAGTAATCACGTAAATGCAAATTAGATTCCTGGGCTCCTTCACCCTTGTCAGGCGAGTTAAAAGGAGTCAGAAAATGGTATTAATAATCCCCACTCTGGCAAGAATTGTGCTGGAATGGACACTTAAAGGACATATTGCTGCTGTGGCATATAAACTAATATAATCCTTGGAGAGCAGCAAGCCAGCATGTATTGATGGTTACAGATTATTTTATTCATTGACCCAATCATTCATTCACTGGTTCTCTCTTCCCTCTCCACCACCGCTCTCTCTCTCTCTCTCTCTCTCTCTCTCTCATTCCAAGAGTTTCCTGCTCTCTTACCCTTTTGGAGCTCACAGTGTAATAAAGAATTTATCTTCAGGAAGTAAACCTCCATTTGGATAATGCTTTATGCACTAAGATGTTCATTGCACCAGTGTTTATAATAGCAAAAGAAAATATAAACAAGCTAAGTGTGCAACCACTAGGGGACTGGTTAAATATAATGAAATAATTGAATCAACTATTAACAGTGACCCTTACAATGAGTTTGTAACGTCACAGGTAAATACCCATGCTTGCAAAATTACATATAAAAAAAGCAAAGCACAGAATTGTCTAACCCCGATGAACTGTGTTTAATATATGTATATGTTAAATACACACACAAATACTTTGAAGCACTTCAAAATGTGCGTAGTGCTAGTGTTTACATGATAGGCAGCTTCTTTTTATTCTATTTTTGAGCATTTTCCAAATGAGCTCTACTGAACATGTCTGTCTTTTTGCTTTTCTGGTGAAAAAAAAAATCAGCATTTATTTTTTTTTCTTTTTGGAGAAGGAGACAGGACAGTGGCCTGACCCAACCCAACACATTGGGTGTGGAGATTCAATCAGTAGCACTGCTCATTTTTCTAGGTTCATCTAACATTTTAAAATATTTCCCAAAAGTTCCTTTCAAAGCCTGTGTATTTCCTTTTGGTCCTGGGCATCTTTCACGGCAGAAGGTTTGGGGTCCTGGCAAGAGGGGCAGGAGTGAAAACTGTGTATATGTCACACACTGTGAATCCCCAGCAGTGTTCATGCACCGGGGGGCCAACCTGGATGCCTCTGTGGTGGGGGATCTTCAGGGTCCCCTCACCCCCTCACCCCATCCAGCTCTGACAGCCAGAGCTCTGGGTGGGGGAAGCAGCTGCTTTGCCAGTTGCCGGTGAGGTCACTCCCAGGCTCCACCGTCCCTGTCTTCCCAGAGTTCCTGGTGGGGAACCTCGTGGTCACCCAGAACACCTCCCTGCCCTGGCCCAGCTCCTACCTCACCAAGACCATCCTCAAAGTCTCTTTCCTCCTCCACGACCCAAGCAACTTCTTCAAGACCGCCTCGTTTCTCTACAGCTGGGACTTCGGAGACGGGTAAGTCCTTACCCCCGTCACTCCCCAAGGCCGTGGCCAGTGCCCTGGCGTCCCACGCACCGTGCAGAGTGCTGCGCACCTCCCGCCTTTCCCCGCTCGCTCTCCCTCTAAACATTCCTGGAGCACCTGCTGCCTGCCAGGCCTGGGGTCCCTGGGGACCGCGGGTGAATCAGTCGCTAGCCCTGCCTTTGAGTGTCGCAGCAGCCTAGCAGAGGAGGTGTCAGTGCCCAAATCAGCCCTTTAAGGAAGGTCAAGGTGGGTAGGATTTTTCCCCATTTGACTTTAAAGGGCACCCAGCCAGCGATGGCAGATGCGGGGCAGAACCCACGTGCTCCAGCTTCACTTCTCTTCACTCCTCTTTCTAAACAAGCCGGTCTGGAGGAGTCGGCTTGGGAAGAGGGGATGGGGACTGAGCCTGGGCAGCCCTTACACACACACCCTGAGCTCATGAGAGGACACTGCTGTCCACAATGCAGCTCAGTGCAGGCCCCTCACTCCGCTCAGCTCCTCCCAGGCCCCCGCAGGGAGTGAGGAGGGGCGCATGTAAAGACACCGAGTCCTGATGAACTTGGGAACGAACCCATCTTGGGGCTCCAGGGAGCCGCTGCGCTCTCTGCAGTGCTGAGAAACAGTTTGGTCTTAAGAAAGGCTAAAATTTGGAAAGCAGAAAAATATGGAATGGAGTGGGAAAGACTTGAGAGAGGCCTGTTGGGCCAGCACCCCTCACCCTTGCTTTAAGGAGAGATGCTTGTCTCTCCTCTTTTCAGAGATCCCCCTCCCCACCCCCACCCCACACTTCCTTTACATGGGGTTCACATGCATGACCTCATGTAATCCTCACAGTCACCCTGAGAGGTATTTACTGTTACATCCACCTCACAGGTAAGGAAATGGGGGTACAGAGCAGGTAAGCCCTCAGGTATCATTGTCCTCTTCTGAAAAATGGGAATAATAACATCTAACTCACGACTTTCAGAAACAGGGCTACCAGCTGGAAAGTCCACACTCCAACCACCATACCCTGTGGCTCTCCACAGTGGACACCAGTACGTCCCTTGGTGTCCTGTTCCGGTGTTATAGCCCAGGGCTCTGGAAATGTTTCTTTAAAGGCCCACGTGGTATTTTAGGCGTGAGGAGCCATCTGGTCTCTGTCACAACTACTCGACTCTGCCATTGGAGCATGAATGCAGCCATAAACAACATGTAAAGAAACAAGCATGGCTGTGTTCCAATAAAACTTTATTTACAAAAACAGGTGGTGGGCCGGATCTGGCCCATAGGCGGTAGTTTGCTGACTCTTCTCTTAAGCCCATGGTGGGCAGCATGTTCTTCCATGTTGTTAAACAGGGCATCCTCTGTTCTAAATATATTAATAAATCTATTCCTTTCTTTCCTTATTTAAATTACCTCAATAGCTTAACCAGTTACTTTAATAATGGGCACATTTTCTGTGCAATGTGAATTGAAAAAAATAGATTTTACTATTTATCTCCTGGGATATTCTTTTGTATCTGTTTTTTTTCTTTATATAGAATGGGGGAAAAGGAGGCATGTTTCTCAAATTTCTTATTTTATTATACATAGTAGGCTTTCTAAACCTAGATAAGAGATGAAAGCTGCTACTGGCTGCCCTAGACTCAGAGTTTTGCCTTGCTTTAAAAACATTTGTGGAAGGGAGAGCAAATATGAGTATATATATGTATTTGCTTAGAAATGTAAAATATAAAGCAAAAATAAAGCAATGCTAGCAATATTCACCTCTGAAAAGTAGAATTTGGGATAAAAATATTAAAAAGAACAAAAAGGGTTCCTTTGGACGTAAAAGGTAAATTTACAGGGAAGATATTACAAACCTCAGACCTGAGCTTTTGGAATATTAGAGCATCACAATATATAAAGAAGGTTCTGTTGGGGAAATTACCCAGAAAGATTGGAAAAATGAAAAAAAAAAAAACATTTGTCACAGGAGATTTTAATGTTCTGCACCCAGACTTTGATATTTTAAAGAGGACTAAAGTAACAACAGAGGATTTTCATAACATAATTAGTTTGATTGATTAAATATATATATGTATGTAGAACCTTAGGCCTAAAAACAAAATATTCCATGAGGTATTCATAAAAATTTTAAAAAATCACATTCTATAGCTTAAAATGTCAAAAAATCCCCTAACAGAGAAAGTAGGAGCTTCATTTTCTGACATGATAGACCAGAAATTCATTAAAAAAATTTTTTTTTTTTTTTTGTAAAAACCTAAAGTGCAGAGAGTTTTAGGCCAACTAGGAGGTTAGCCAACTCCAAAGTTCGAGGTCACAGTCCCCAAGGCTGCCCTGACTTCTGATACCAACCGTGAGAGTTTAGCTACTTCTCCCATTAGGGGCAGCACAGTCCTCCAAAACCACCGTCACCTCAGACAGCAATTGCAGCTTTGGTGGGAGGAACTTCCCAGGACCACACTCAGGTTCAGTGATTGGCTAGAAAGCATCACAGAACTCACCGGAAGCTGGTATACTCACGGTTATGGCTTAGTACAGCCATAACATACATACAGATTAACATACAGATTAAACATAACTTACAGATTAAAATCAGCCCGTGGAATTACAGGACATGTCACATTCCCAGCATCACTGTGTGACGATATGCACAGAGCATCACCACCCAGGGAAACTCAGCCGAGTCTCTGTGTTCGGGGTTTTTATTGGGGCTTGTATTAGTCTGCTCAGCTGCCGTAATGAAATGCCACAGACTGGGTGGCTTAAACAAAGGACATTTATCTCCTCACAGTTCTGGAGGCTGGAAAGCCAATATTGGGGTGCCACCAGGGTTGGTTTCTGGGCTCTCTTCCTGACTTGTAGACAGCCACTTTCTTGCTGTGTCCTCACAGGGCCTTTCCTCTGCCAGGGCTGAGAGAGGAAGAGAGAGAGAGAGAGAGAGAGAGAGGGAGAGAGAGGGAGAGAGAGAGGGGAAGAGAGAGATCTGGCGTCTCCTCATCTTATAAGGACAGCAGTCCTATTGGATTAGGGTCCCACCCTTAGGACTTCATTTAACCTTGATTGCCTCTTTAAAGGCCCTGTCTCTAGATACAGTCACAGTGAGGGTTAAGGCTTCGGCACATGAATTTTGGGGAGCCACAGTTCAGTCCATAACAGGGCCCCGTTGCATAAGCATGACTGACTGCCCACATGGTCGATCTCAGGCTCCAGGTCAAGTGACACCATGTGACCCAAGGCCGCTACTCTCAATCATATTGGTAGACTATCCAATGTGACACAAGCTCCCTCAGGCAGACAAAGACACCCCCCCAATTCAACATTTTAAAACATGATCCTAAAATGATTTTGGGGTCACAAGTAACTTTAAACTGTGATGACATAATATTTAGAAAATAACTATGAAGGGTATTAATACATACAAATTGAGAGAATAATTCCAAAGCTGTAACTAGAGTCAAATTCACAGTTTTAAGTGTTTTAATTATTAAATAAGAATAAAAATAAAATAAATAAGCACTCAACTCACAAAAAATCCCCACGTATCAGGAAAAGAATGAAAGAATTAATAAATACAAAAACATGAATTAGAACATAGTAAAACAGAATTGATAAACTCAAAGTTGTTTTTTTTTTGAGGAGGGGCAGGGGAAATAAGGTACAAAACTTCAAGCTAGTGTTACTTTCTTAAGCTAAAATTTATTTTTTAATTTTCTTAAAAGAAAATACACTTCTATACACACACATCAAAAATCCTATCAAGGGCCGGACGCGGTGGCTCATGCCTGTAATCCTAGCTCTCTGGGAGGCCGAGGCGGGCAGATTGTTTGAGCTCAGGAGTTCGAAACCAGCCTGAGCAAGAGCGAGACCCCGTCTCTACTAAAAATAGAAAGAAATTAATTGGACAACTAAAAATATATAGAAAAAATTAGCCGGGCATGGTGGCGCATGCCTGTAGTCCCAGCTACTCGGGAGGCTGAGGCAGTAGGATTGCTTGAGCCCAGGAGTTTGAGGTTGCTGTGAGCTAGGATGACGCCATGGCACTCTAGCCCAGGCAACACAGTGAGACTCTGTCTCAAAAAAAAAAAAAAAAAAATTCCTATCAAGGATGAGAAAGTAGCAATCACTACAGGTAAAGTGATAAGATTTTTTAAATTGTAAGATAATAGGGTACTTTGTGCAATTCAAAACTCCATGCTGATGTATTTAAAAATGTCAATGAATTGAATGATTTTCTAGGAAAATGTAAATGACTAGAATTGACTTGAAAGTAGAAAATGTTGCAAATGAATTATCTCTAAGAAAGGGATCTGAACCAGATGGTTTTACTGACAAGTTATTTTATGCTTTCAAAGATACAGTAATTCTGTTGTGATATAAAGTCCTCCAGGGTTTAGACCAAGATAGAAAGCTTCTCAATTCATTCTACAAAATTAACATAGCTCAAAAAAGAAGACAATATGCCATTTAAATTATAACCTCAAATGCAATGATTTTGGCTGGAATAACAGCAAATTTAACATAGCACTTCATTAAAATAATAATACACCATAGCCAATGAGAGTCATGCATGTCTAAAATTGTCACTAAAATCCCTTTATCTTCAGAGGAGCAGTTTCCAGGCTCTCGAAAGTCTCTAGCCCAAGAGCAACCTGTCTGTCTAGGTGGTATGTTTCATACTGAAAAGAGACACACATTTTGTTCTCTACTCCATAATGTATCTGTGTTCCTTTTGATCTAAAAATAATGACAATACCTCTGGAAGATGCACTAGGTTTGCCCACAGCCTTTGCATAACTTAATTTAAGACGCATGGAAGTCAGGAGTATCTTAGAATACTAAAAACAATTCACTGTTAGGAACTTTATTATTTTGGTTCATCGTTTTAATAAGTTAAAGGAGAAAGATCCTAGGATCATCTCTTTAGATGCCAAAAAAGTGTTAGACTAGGCAGACATGGATGTTCAATGAAATCTCAGTAAACTAGAAAAAGAAGTTGCTGGAACCAACAATTAACATTATACAGAGTGGTGAAATGTAGAGTGTGGATTCCTTCACCCTGGGTGAGAAATGGGACCTGTGATCCAACACTTCAGGGGAATTATTCCATCAAAATACTGGTTGGGGGGCTGTCTCTAGATGCAGGAGTAAGACAAGGATGCTCTTTATTAGTCTCCTTCAATGTCATCATGGAAGTTCTAACTTATTCAGAAAGTCAAGAAGATAAATGAGGGATAAATATCGCAAAGCAATTTGCAGAAAAGATTATTTACTTGCAGAAACTTGTGTTATTTACTTGAAGAAACAGCTCTGTCCAGTGGAAACTCAGTGATTCTCTCTCTACCATGTGTGGCTGTTGAGCCTTTGCATCTTGGCTAATATGACTGAGAAATAGAATTTTAAATTTTACTTAATTTAAAATTAAGCAGCCACATATGTCTGGTAGCTATATATTGGAGAGCATAGGTCCAGAGAAGCCGTGGGGAAAAATGTTAAGAATTTAGGTAGGAAACCAAGGGAAGGTATCAATAGCTTTCTTATATACCAGTAATAAGAAGTTAGAAGGTAAAGAGGGGACTCCTATTAATAATAACAAAACTAATTTATAAAATAAATATAGGAACATGCTTAACCTAGAAATGGCCAAGATCCTGTGTGAAGGAAGCTACAGAGCTACTGAGAAGTATCAAAGATGTAGGGAATGGGTATGCACACCACGTCCTGTTTGGTGAGTCTTAATATTGTAAGAGGTCCATCCCTCCCCAACCCCAGTTATCCGGTAAGTTTAGCACAAATCCAGGAAAAACTTTTGGCATGGGACAAAGATTCTAAAGTTCATCCAATTAAGATATATATATATATATGCACATACAAACACACACACACACACACACATATATATGGTTTTTATCATAATGAAGAACATCTGGATCATCTGTCTCAAACCAGTGGACTGTCTCCATATTTATTAGGGGCATTTCCTTTCAAGTCAAGGACTTTATTCACTATTTCTGTTGTAACTGAACATTTTTCTTGACTAGCCAATGAAATAAGAAAAAGAAATATAAATATTATAAAGGAGGAGAGGCCAGGTGCAGTGGCTCACGCCTGTAATCCTAGCACTCTGGGAGGCCAAGGCGGGTGGATCGCTTGAGCTCAGGAGTTCAAGACCAGCCTGAGCAAGAGCGAGACCCCATCTCTACTAAAAAAATAGAAAGAAATTAGCTGGACAACTAAAAATATGTAGAAAAAATTAGCTGGGCGTGGTGGCACATGTCTGTAGTCCCAGCTACTTGGGAGGCTGAGGCAGATGGATCCCTTGAGCGCAGGAGTTTGAGGTTGCTGTGAGCTAGGCTGATGCCACGGCACTCTAGCCCAGGCAACAGAGTGAGACTCTGTCTCAAAAAAAATAAATAAAATAAAAATAAAGGAGGAGACAAAATCAATTATATACAAATGACAATACTGTTTACATGGACAGTACAAGAGACTCAACTGAAAAGTCTTAGAACTAAAAAGAGGTTTTAATAATATGTAAAACAGTCATAGCTTTTCCATATAATGGCAAAAGATTTTTTATAATAGATATAAAACATACAAAAAAACTCAATAATGAACTTAATCTAAAATCATAGGATCTATGTGAATAAAACCACAAACTATACTGAGAACCTTAAAAAGACTTACAAAGTGAGAGAATTTCTTAATATTGTGAAAGGAAGAAACATGACCAGAAAAGCAAAATTCTGTTGAACAGGGATGGGGAAAGGAACTGAAAATACATTCATACATGTATTTGAAAAGCTATAAACATCTTGTAGCAACAATAGGCAGCTCAATGGAATAGAATAGAAAATGCAGAAACTAACCTAAGTTTATATATACATTCAGTATATGATAGCAGTGATAGTTATAGCCAGTAAGTAAAGATGGATTATTTAAGAAATGGTACTGGGGCAGTTATTTAACTATTTGGGAGAGAAACAACCTGATTCCTAAGAAAAGCAACTTCAGATGGATTAAGAAATCAAACACAATGAACCAGCACTAGATCGAAATGTAGATGATCACCTGCAACTGGATAATTTAACAATGGGGAAAGCATTGCTAAGAATAAAACAAAGACAGAAACTTGGAAAAACTTGCTAGACAAGCATCACCAAATACAAAATTTGAATGTGAAAGAAGGAAATCAAATTAAAAGATAAAGGCTAAACTGGGAGAAAATATTTGGAAGATATATATGAGTTTTAATAAACTTCATATGTAAAGAGCATTGACCAGTCAACACAAAGATTTTCTTGATTGTTATTAGACTTCCTTATGAAGTGATTCGGGTAGTTGGAGGAAAAAAGCATGATGTCATACACCTTATATATTACGTGATGGAGGTATGGTGCTCCCTGGTTTACGGATGAGAAAGGTAAGGCTTAGAGTTAAATAGAAAGTCTGGAGCAGAGATTCAAAGCCAGGTGTTTTCTTAACTCCAAAGTTCATACTTCACCCCTACCCATTATGTCCTTATGTCTAACACGAGGCGTCTCCCAGAGTCCTGGCTGGGAGGTGGGGTGAGAGCCCATGGCTGGGAGTTCTCCCACCTCTAACTTAGAAGCAGAACGACAACCAGCAGCCACTTTATGTAAGCACAGTGTAGGCTTCTGGCAAGTTCTCCAGGGGTGACCAGGGGGCCGGTGGGACCCAAACTTCGAAGGTGCTGGCACTGGTGAAGGCATCTGGTGGTTGGCACATCAAAGCCATGGGTGATTCTGACAGTCTGCAGAGCTGAGAACCCTGCCAGCTGCCTCTCTGCAACATGAAACTGATGGGCTGTCATGGCTGCCTCCTGGAGGACACAGAACCTCTCAGCCACATCAGAGCCCCACACAGAGAGGAGAGGAAGGGATGTGGGTCCCTTCTTGCCCTCCCTGGCCTCAGTTTCTTCATCTGGGAAATGGGCCAACTGACCTTGAGTCAGCTCTAGGGGCTCTGCTGCAACGACAGGTGTGCTCATTGGTAGCCAGGAATGTCACCGTACGGCTCCCCCACCCTCCGACTCTAACAAGTCACACAAATCATTTCGGAGCTACAAGAAGGGGAAACAACCTTCTGACATCTTCCCCCTTTCTCCTCCTTGTCCCCTTACAGGACCCAGATGGTGACCGAAGACTCTGTGGTCTATTACAACTATTCCATCATTGGAACCTTCACCGTGAAGCTCAAAGTGGTGGCGGAGTGGGAGCAGGCAGAGCCGGACACTGCGAAGGGCGTTATGCAGAAGACCGGTGACTTCTCTGCCTCGCTGAAGCTGCAGGGTGGGTCTCCAGCTGGGCTGACAAAGGCTGAGCGTCCGGCTCCATGGGGAGCCCCGACTCAGCTCCTTCCAGGGTGGGGTCACTGCTGCACAGAGTAGAGTGGCTCAGGCTAGAGGAACGCCCTGTCTTCTCATGCCCTGCCATCCTCTGAGCAGTCTTTGTCATTATCCCTGCTTTAAAGATGGCACCCAAGGCCACAGTGGTAGAGTGGCATTTGAGCCCAGGGTTGCCTGCTCCCAGAGCCTGAGCCTGTGACCAGCTGTCTGCTGCGAGCTGGCCTGTCCTGCTGGTCTTGTTCCCCTGCGACACTGCCTTCCGTCAAGCTCACCCCATCAGGGTGGATGGCGTCCGCCCAGTGCACAGGGAGGGCATTTCCAAGCCCATCTCTCTCTGGCTTTGGTGAGAGGGAGGCCTGGGCAGCTTCGGAAGATGTCTTGGTTCTTGCTAAAGGGGTGGTGCTTTCCTGAGTGGCACAGATGATGGCTCGGTGGCAGTGGGTGGGACAGTCGCCCTTTGCCTGCCTTCTCCCACTTCCTCCCTCTAAGCTGGCTCCACCACCTGCTGCTGAACAGGGGAGGGCAAGACCCCACAGTGCCCTGGACAAACCTGCAACCCTCCCTTGGGAGAGGAACAGAGGAGAGGACAGGGTGGAGGTCACAGCCCCAGGTCCTGGGAGCCTGTGACAGCAGTCCTCAGTCACCAGGTCTAACGGGGCTCTCTCTGCCTTACAGAAAGCCTTCGAGGCATCCAAGTCTTGGGGCCCACCCTCATTCAGACCTTCCAAAAGCTGACGGTGACCTTGAACTTCCTGGGGAGGTGAGTGAACCCCAGAGGGCTCTGCCTACATGCTCTGACAGGTGCTCCTCAGCCTGCTGCATCTCCTCACGGTCCCCAAGCAAGGGGGCCACTCTGCCCCGAGGCTGTGCATGGGGAGAGTGTGGGCACAGCCCCATTCTCAAGGTGCCAGGGAGAGAGGACGAACCTTGTAGGGCTGTCTGCAGCGAGGGTAGGGAGGCAAAGGCAGGGGAGGCACCCCTCCTGTAACGAGCCCCCCATGAGCCATGTGGGCCTGTTTTCCAGCCCCCTGGTCTTTGCCTATGCGGTTCCTTGCCCCAGAGCCCGCTCCCTCTCCTCTCACATGTTCAAACACTCCCGTCCTCCAAAGGCTCCAGAGAGCCTGTCCTGCCCTCCTGCCGGCACAGGGGAGCTGGCACCAGCCGGCAGAAGTTCGCTGAGCATCTGCTTTGGACCAGGCACTGTTCTAGAAGCTGCAGGGACAAGAGGGGACAAGACAGAGCCACTGCTTCTAAGGATTCTGTGTGTATACAGGAGACCCCACAAGAAACAGAAGCGGGTATCCCAGGGGATTCTAAGGAGGTCGCCTGCTGGGGGGCCCGGTGCAGGCTCTTGGCAAGAACAGCATCATGAGCGAGGAGACTAGAGGTCCTGGGTGTGTCCTCCCCACGTGGGCGTCTCCTATCCCCCCGGGGTGACTGGGATGGATAAAGCTGCAGAGGTCAGTGGTCAGGGCCCAGCCCTCGAAGGACTCTCGTCCCCACACAGGGACACATTGGAGCGATGTAGGCCAGGTGGAGGGTGGGCAAAGGAAGCCCAGGAAAGAGGACGATGAGCTAACTTAGGGATTGCAGGTGGTTTCTAAAGCTTTTGGGGGCTTTGGAGGGAGGAGCTTAGCATGTGGAGGATGGGAAGGCATTGGGTGTGGCAGACCTGATCTGTGAGGTGGCACAAATGTGTGGCTTTTACTCGGGGCCTGAAGTTAGGATGGACCTGCGTTTTCTGGCGTCTGAGCCTGTGCCTGTGGCCTGTAGATAGCCCAGAACACCCTCACCCCTTCTCACCTGTGAAAGGCCCACTTACCCTTTCAGATCCTGCTCAAATGCCACCTCTTCCAGGAAGGCTTCCCAGATTTCCTCCAAGAACGTTCTCATTATTTCCCCGTGCTTCCAAAGCACACCAAGTGTGCCACTGGAGCACTCATGCTGTCCCCAGTCAGCAGTCTGTGAGCCTCTGTTTGCCTCGCTAGCCTGAGATCCCAAGGGGGTCTGGGGCCATCTCTTCTGCACCATTGTGTTCCCTGGTCTGGAATGAGTGACACTGAGGCCAGGACAGCTTGGTGTCCTGTCGTACAAAGGACACTGATGTTTATGCCCACCGGCCTTTCTTGGCCTTGGTCTGTGTTCACACTCTTTGTCGAGCCATTTCTGGCAAACTGTCCCCATTTCCCTGCAGCCCCCCACTGACCGTGTGCTGGCGTCTCAAGCCCGAGTGCCTCCCGCTGGAGGAGGGGGAATGCCACCCCGTGTCCGTGGCCAGCATGACGTACAACCTGACTCACACCTTCAGGGACCCTGGGGACTACTGCTTCAGCATCCGGGCGGAGAATATCATCAGCAAGACGCATCAGTACCACAGGGTCCAGGTGTGGCCCTCCAGTAAGTGGCCCCTTGCCTTCTGCTCCAGTGCCACATGGGCAGCACAAACCTGTCCACCCTGTCACTGCCACCAGTAGCTCCTACCAGCCAGCCCTACCAAGGTCCTTGCACCTTGGATCCAGCACCCAAGCCCACCAGCACCTGCACCATCAATAACCCTACTGACTCCAGCAACCGCCAATACCACTGCTGGCCAACTGCCAGTACCCCCAACCAACTCGGCCAGCCCCCCCATCACCACCGTCAGCACCAGCACCGCTAACAACCACCAGCTCAGCTACCGCCATTACCGTGCACTCTGCTGTCAATAATAACTCTTCCAGCACTGTCACTGTCACTACTAACGACCCAACCAGCATTCCCTCGCAATCACCTCTGTGACCCCTGCCCCCACCCACGCCTATAAGCCCAAACCACCGCCAGCCCCAGTGCCCAGCCTGTGGACCAACACCTTCGCTGTCAGTGTTGCCTCCCAATATTCCTGAGAACACACATGTCCCCAGCATGAACACTCCCACACCAAATGAGCCACCACCATCCCCCTAACCCTACCTTCTTCACCTCCGTCCCCGTGGTTGCCACCGTGAAAACCAGCATCCCTAACAGTAGCTCTGCCCAACTCACAGGGCTGTGGTGAGTGTTCCAGGCAGAAGGAGCTGCTCGGAAAGTCTAAAGTACAGACCATGTCATTAATAAGGACACCCAACCGTCTCCCTTTGGAGTACCCTTCCCCAAACCATCGTCAGGCCTGGCCGCTGGCTTCCGGGCACAGGATTAGCTGATGGCAGCATTGGGTTCTACACTACATTTCCTTGAGGGACTCTGGGACCCCAGAAAAGTGCTTCCTTACATAGAGGAGAAAGTAGGACCCCAAGACCCTAAGGGGTAGTCTTTCAGATGCCTAACTCGGCCCTACCTTTCATGCTACAAAAGGGGAAACTAAGGCACAGGGAGGCAACAAGCCAAACTCAGGCTTTCTGGGTCCTGGTCCAATGCTGTTTCCTGGGGTAGGAGTTCCCTGTGCCCCTGAGCATGCCAAACCCTGCCAGCTGTACCTGTCCTCACGGTGGCCCTGTAGGTGTACCTGATACTGTCACTATCCCCTAAAGTCTCTCCAGTCCCTCTCTGAGTCCCTGAGCAGACATGATACACCACTCTGGGCCCTGGCTGACCTGTGCACATCACTGGGGGCCTTGGGCTCTCAGCACCCCCTGGGCACCAAGTGCCTGGAACCCCCCGAATACTGCAGAGAAGACAGCAGTACAGGTCATCAACACTGCCTTTTCTTAGGAAACAGATCCTCATGGCAGAGGGTGAGGAAAGAGTGAGAGGAAACTCACACTTCCTGATCACCTGCCCGGCACATCCATGTCCCCTCCTCATTGCATCTTCACATCAGCCTCATAGGTCAGCATTAGCATCAGGTAGTCTAGTCAGTGCCAGGATTTGAACCCAGGATTTCCCTACTGCAGACACTGGGCTCTTTCTACTATACCATGCCACTTCCTAGCAACAGGCTCGGTGGGTGAGCCTGGAGTTGCCATAAGGCAGGAAGCTGCAGCAGAGGTCACAGCATTACTTGGATGTCCTCACAACATGGCTTCCCTTCCCCAAAGGACATTGCCCAAGAGAGCAAGGAGGAAGCTATGATGTCTTTTATGGCTTAGACTTGGGAGTCATGCATCATTGCTCCTGTCATTTGCTGTACCATAGGAGCTGGTCACTGAGTCCAGCCCACATTCAAGGGGTAGGGAATTTAGCTGCCACTCTTGGATGTTACTATTAAGTAACTTGTGGATGTATTTAAAAAAAAAAACCCATACCCCAATTTATTATATTTTTTTCGAAGTCCTGGACTTGCCTGTTGGGGTTGCCTGGTTGGGATGCATGTACATAAGAGAAAAAAAATCACTGACAGGGGTTGACTATTCTCTTCCCCATTGTGCTCGCCTCCTGAGAACCAGCATTTCAGCACCAGCTACCCAGTACCGTGACTTCACCTCTCTCACTCCCAGGCATCCAGCCGGCTGTCTTTGCCTTCCCATGCGCAACACTTATCACTGTGATGCTGGCCTGCATCATGTACCTGACCCTGCGGAATGCAACTCAGCAAAAGGACATGGTAGAGGTGGGTGCTTAGAATAGTGGGGGCTGGACCACTGGGCCTTGCCTAGGGAGGGTCTTTGGAGAGGCTTTGGGGGCCAGGCCAGGATGCCTGGAGGGGGTCTTGATGTTAGAGCAAGGCCCTGGGGCTTGGCGTGATGTGCCCATCCATAGACTGGGAAAAATTATTAAGTTGATATCCCGTCTGACTTATCTCCTTCTGTGCTTGTCCCTTGCATATGTGTGGCACCAGAAGCGTGTTTCTGTGCACTCTGCTGCTAGGCAGCTGAGCTCGTAAGGCCACCCGATGGGGCTCCCAGTGGGCGGGTAATTGACCCATGGGGTTTTGTTCACCATAGGTGGCTGATTTTGACTTTTCCCCCATGTCTGACAAGAACCCGGAGCCGCCCTCTGGGGTCAGGTGCTGCTGCCAGATGTGCTGTGGGCCCTTCTTGCTGGAGACTCCATCTGAGTACCTGGAAATTGTCCGCGAGAACCACGGGCTGCTCCCGCCCCTCTACAAATCTGTCAAAACTTACACTGTGTGAGCACCCCACCCCCATCTCAGTGTTAAGTGATTGCCTACTTGGAGCTTTGGGCACGGTGGTGTGCACCTCTGACCAGGAGGGGTTCACGTGCAAGGAGCTGTTGGCCCTGGCCAGCCGGCCATCTGTACAGTCTAGCCACTGCCACAAGCCCGTCTGTGACACACCCCCAGCCATTCGCCCATCTGTATAGTCCAGCCACTGAAGTAAGCCCTTCTCAGTCACCCCCATCCCGCCCCCTGTCCTTAAAGAGGCTCTGGGCAGGGCTCTGACACTGGGCGTGTTCCCTGTTCTCTCCCAGGTGGGCCTGGCTGCCCCTTGCCCTTTCCTCTCCCATGGGCACATCTGCCATCTGTGGAGGGTTCACATTTCCCTCCCCCAGGCAGCCCTGCCTACGCCAGAGAGCTCAGAAGCCCACACACAGTTAAGGATCCATAACAGAGGGTCACACACACAGATGGGCACGCTCACAGATGAGCGCGCACGCGCGCGCACACACACACACACACGTCACGCTGGCGTTTCAGACGATTTGCTCTGTATCTGTTAAGTCAGTTGCTGGGCTGCACCCTGAATTAGGACGAAAATCAAATTTGACTTTCTCCACTTGGCCCCAACAGGTCCTGGCCCAGCCCCTCCCTTTGTGCGTTTTTTCTGCAGCTCCCTCGCCCATTGTAGGGCCACCCTGTTCCCTGCCTGCTTGCTGGGGGCTGGATGGGGGCAGGACCAACACTTTGTGAGTGTAGAAACCCTTATGTTAAACCCTCACTGAGGAAAAGAAGGGGTGGAGTCAGGATCCAGTGGGGACTTGGGTCCCTGTCGGTGGAGGGGGGCGTTCTTGCTGCCCAGCTGCTTCCCAGGTGGCCTTGAGAAGGAAGAAGTGGCCTGGCAGAGCCGAGCAGGGGACCCAGCCCACGCCCTCCCCTCCGGCCCAGTGGCCTGGGAGAGGCAGAGGCCGTGGAGAGGGCAGGTGACGGCACCAGTGGAGCCAGGGCTGAGGCCCAGGTGCGCGTGTCCAGGTGTGCCAGGAGCAGCGTGAGCCTGCCCGGGGAGGGAAGGGCAGGACCATGGGGTTGGGGCTCTGTCACTGTAATCGTTCGCTCCCAGACTTTGTGCTGAAAGCAGTATTCACTCTGTCGTGCAGCTCATTTTCATGAAATACTGCCATTGTCGCTGAATAAAGCTTGTGTGCTCTGAATATAGCCAAGCATAGACCACCAGTGTGGCCAGAGTCCTTTTTTAGTGTGGATGTTTGTGTCCTGCAAGCAGCAGGAGCAGCTGTTGGATGTGGCGGGCACCCTCTTTGTGTTCTATGGTGGAGAGAACTGAATGGAGCCGATCAGGGTCCCTGCAGGCGGGTCTGGTAGCCCCAAGTGACTCAGACATGCACCTGGCTGACTCAGGCGTCAGAGAGGGAGCATGGGCCACCCCTGGGAGCCTGTTGGAAATGCAGACCCATTGCGCCCCCACCTGCTGCACCTGAATCAGCACCTGGAGGGGTGGGCAGCCACCTGTTTCCACAAGCCCTGGAGGGTTCTGGTTTGTGGACCTCTGGTCTCTAGCAGGGATGCTCGAGCTTCGATGAGCAGGAGAATTGCTGGAGATCTTGTTAAACAACGTTTTCATGTAGGAGGTCTGGAGTGGGGCCTGGGATCCTGCATTCCTAACATGTTTCCAGGGACCATGCTTCGAGTGGCAAAGATCTGAGTCTAGACCTTTCCTAAGCTTTTACCTTCTGTAAGAGGTTTGGGACTTTCTCTCAGTTGCCTCTGCTCTGCCGCCACACCCACCCCCCAGCCACCCCCAACCCAGAGGGTGTGCCCTGAGCTCCAAAGAGCTTGATGTGGATGGGAGTGGGCCCTGCACACGGTGGCCGCCCTTCGCCCCACCTGTACCACTTCTAATGAGCAAAGTCACTTAGGGAACATTCCCGACTTCAGCATCATTGGCACGTGGGGCAGATGAAGCCACACCACACTCCCTCTGCCCCCCACACAGGGGTCAGCTGTGTTAGGGCCCAGGACAGGAAGGAACCTGGGTGTCACAGGGACCCTTGTGCCTTGAATAACCAGTTAGGAGATCAAATGAAATCTTAGAGAAAGGGGGGATGTTCTGAATCTTTTTTTGTTTGTTTGTTTGAGACAGTTTTATTCTGTCACCCTGGCTAGAGTGCAGCGGCATCATCTTAGCTCACTGCAGCCTCAAACTGCTGGGCTCAAGCCATCCTCCTGCCTCAGCCTCCTGAGTAGCTGAGACCATAGGCACACGCCACCATGCCCTGCTAATTTTTCCTATTTTTAATAGAGACAGAGTCTCGCTCTTGCTCAGGCTGGTCTCACACTGCAGACCTCAAGCAATCCTCTGGCCCTGGCCTCCCAGAGTGCTGGGACTACAGGTGTCAGCCACTGCGCTTGGTCCAGGTGTCATTTCAGAATCACTCCCTGCTGGAATAACAGACAGTTTCTCTGTGCCCCTGCATGTGCCTTCAAGGGAACCCAGTTTAAGAAAAATCTAAACTCCACCCAGAAGAATTTAGAGGTGGTTGTTCACTCTGTGAAGAAAGGAGTGACATCTCTGCAAAAAATGGGGTCGTCCAATGTTTATCATGCAGAAGGTTTTTTTTTTTTAAACGAGTTGTCAACCACATAAAAGGTTAGGTACAGAGAACCACTGGAGTAAAATGCAGAAAAACCCAGAGCTATAGCAGGAAGGGTCACTTGGCCAACGCGCGCAGCTGCGACACCACTCAGTAGGAATGTTTCTGACTCGCACAAATGCGGGCTGTGCAGGTAGCAGGGCCACACGGGCAGAGTGGGACATCGCGGGCTGCCTGAGCGCCCTGAGCAAGGCAGGCCTTTCGAAACGCTCCCTGATTTGTTACGTTGCCTGTGAGTGATTCTTCAGCGTCAGCCTAGCTCACAGCAACCTCAAACTCCTGGGCTCAAGCGATCCTCCTACCTCAGCCTCCCGAGTAGCTGGGACTACAGGCATGCGCCACCATGCCCGGCTAATTTTTTCTATATATTTTTAGTTGTCCAGATTATTTCTTTCTATTTTTTTAGTAGAGACGGGTCTCACTCTTGCTCACGCTGGTCACAAACAGGGGCCTCGTGGGGAGCTGATGGGGTCTTGACGCACCAGCCCCCAGTCACTGGCGGTCGCAGGCCTGTTGCAGGGCTGTAGCAGTGCCCAGCCCCGTCCGGCGCGGCTGCATCTCACTCACGCTTTCTTACCAGCAATGCTGGGATCCTGGGTCAGCCCTCCCCACAGAGGCGCCCTAGCCCCAGATGGCAGGAGGGGCCAGGCGCCTGTTCCCACCACCCTGCGGTTCCAGGAGGGACCTGATCTGTCACTGAGGAGAGGCTGTGGAGTCACATGACCTCAGCAGAGTCAAGAGCAAAACCGACAGATTTCTGCACACATCTGATAAGAGCCACATATTTTCCTTTAGGAAGCCCGGAGAGAGCTGGGTGGAGCCCCCCACTCTGGAGAGGTTGGGGTATCTTGGGATGGTTCTGAGGTTTCAAGCCTGAAATGATTAAAGATTTCCAAGCAAACATGGACCAAACTGGGTTGAATAGTGACTCCCCAAATTCTTGTCTACCTGGAACCTGAGAATGGGGCCTTACGCGGTGTGACATCGTGAGATGTGTAACTCCCGTAGCCCTGGTTATGATGTCGGGGCGCTTCAGGCCTCAGCAGCAGCCTCAGAAAACAGAATCTCTCCGACCTTCTCCTGCCCTCCTGCCACCTGCTCCCTGTTCTCCCCAAGGCAGCAATCTTCCCCCACCCTTCTGTGTTGCAGCCGGCCATAAAGAAATTCTCCGACCTCCCTTGTCTGATTTTAGGTCACAAGACCCCCATTTCAGGAGCAGGCCTGCCCCACACCTCCCCGGGGGAAGGAATGCAGCACAGACAGGCCTTGCTGGCTTTCCCCACCCAGTCCGTCAGTGTGAGGCTGTACCTTTTTTGTCCAATCATATCTCCACGTGGTTGTCAGGCATGCCCATCCAGCGCAGTCTCCGTAAAAGGCCAGGGTTTGGAGAGCTGCACACGTGGAGGTGCCTGGAGGGTGGCGCGCCCGGGGAGGGCATGGAAGCTCCGCGCCCTTCCCCCATATCTTGCCTTATACATCTCTTCATCTGCATCCTTTTTTTTTTTTTTGGAGACAGAGTCTCACTCTGTTGCCCCGGCTAGAGTGAGTGCCGTGGCGTCAGCCTAGCTCACAGCAACCTCAAACTCCTGGGCTCAAGCGATCCTACTGCCTCAGCCTCCTGAGTAGCTGGAACTACAGGCATGTGCCACCATGCCCAGCTAATTTTTTCTATATATTTTTAGTTGTCCAGATTATTTCTTTCTATTTTTTTAGTAGAGACGTGTCTCACTCTTGCTCAGGCTGGTCTCAAACTCCTGAGCTCAAACAATCCGCCCGCCTCAGCCTCCCAGAGAGCTAGGATTACAGGCGTGAGCCACCACGCCCAGCCCATCTGCCTCCTTTATAATAAACTGGTAAATGTGTCTCCCTGAGATCTGTGAGCTGCTCCAGAAAATTAATCAAATCCAAAGTGGGAGTCGCGGGAACCCCAACTTGAAGCGGGTTGGCCAGACGTTCCTGAGGGCCGTCTTGGGGACTGAGCCCCAGCCTGTGGGATCTGATATCCTGTAGACAGTGCTGGAATTGAATTGGAGGACACCCAGCTGGTGTCCAACGCAGAAGTGGTCACTTGCTTGGTGTGTGGGGAGAAACCTCCCATACTTGGTACCCTCCAGATACCTCCATGATGCAGGCAGAGATGGGAGTGATGTGTCTACAAGCCAAGGGATGCTGAGGGTTGGTGGCTGCCACCAGAAGCTGGGCGGGAGGCCTGGGGCAGAGTCTCCCTCAAGAACCAACCCTGCCGATCCATTTGTCTCAGATTTCTGGCCCCCTGAGCTGGGAAAGATTAAGTTTCTATTGTTTTAAGCCACTCGGTCTGTGACACTTTGCTACGGCGGCCCCAGGAAACGAACATACTTCCCCATGTCAATGCTGGCAGCTCTGTCTCTCGCATTCCATACCCAACTAACAGGAAAGCCTTCAACGGGGCTCCAGAATCCTGCCCCCACCTCCACTGCCACCCCCTCCTGCCCCGGTGGAGCCCTGGCCACTCCTGGTGGCTCTGCTCCCCCTGCATAGCAGCCTGAGTCTATCCTCAAAACTGCACCAGGACTGTGTCCTTCTTACCTATCTCACAGGAGAGCCAAGGTCCTGCCAATGGACCCACA